GTACCTCCTTGATCCATGCGGCTGCCCCCCACTTTCTGTGGCCGTTTGCGGTCCGGTACGCTGCGCATCAGCTCAACCTCTGGCCCCGTGTCTCCTTGCCGGAGACCTCGCCCACGCTACTGTGGACGGGGGAGGTTGGCGATGCGTCGCGTTTCCGGGTCTGGGGGTCTCGAGCTTTTGTCCGCGATTCGTCTGCGGACAAGCTCTCCTCCCGTGCTGTTCCCTGCGTCTTCCTCGGCTTTGTCCCGGACGCGTCTGGTTGGCAGTTTTACCACGCCACCTCGCGCCGAGTCTTGCCCTCCCAGGACGTCACTTTTGACGAGTCCGTCCCCTACTACCGCCTCTTCCCCTACCGCACTGCCCCGCTCCCCCCCCCGCCTCTCTTCCTCTCGCCAGGTGCTGCTGTTGCAGACCCCCTCCCCCCTCAGGGTGCCGCTCCCTCAGGTGTGTCTCAGGTAGACCCGGTTGAGCCTGTTGAGGTAGCTGTCGACTCTCGTCCTGCTGGGGGTGCTGAGCCTGGGGGTGCTGAGCCTGGGGGTGTGGAGCCTGGGGGTGTGGAGCCTGGGGGTGTGGAGCCTGGGGGTGTGGAGCCTGGGGGTGTGGAGCTTGAGGGTGCTGAGCTTGGGGGTGTGGAGCCTCGTGGTACTGAGCTGCGGAGTCCGGAGTCTGGGGGTTCTGCGTCTGGAGGTACGAGGTCTGGGAGTCCTGCACCTGGAGGAGCCCTCTCCTCGGAGCAGCTACGTGCGTGGTACTTAGAGTACTGCAGCCTCCGGAGAGGTACCACTCGAGCCGGACGTACTACTGGGACTGGTGCTAGTACTTCTTCTCCCGTTCGGGAGCTCCCCTCCCGCGAGCGGATCCGTGAGTGGTACGAGCGGCGCTGCACTCTTCGGAGTGGCGTGCCTCGTGTTACGAACCCCGCTGCTGTTGGAGCTGCTGCTGGTGCTGAGGACCCGAGCGTTGGAGCTGCTGCTGGTGCTGAGGACCCGGGCGTTGGAGCTGCTGCTGGTGCTGAGGACCCGGGCGTTGGAGCTGCTGCTGGTGCTGAGGACCCGGGCGTTGGAGCCGCTGCTGGTGCTGAGGACCCGGGCGTTGGAGCTGCTGCTGGTGCTGAGGACCCAGGCGTTGGAGCTACTGCTGGTGCTGAGGACCCGGGCGTTGGAGCTACCGCTGGTGCTGAGGACGTGGGCGCTGGAGCTGCTGCTGGTGCTGCGGACCCTGGTGCGGGTGTCCCTGCTGGCTCTGGTGTCGCTGCTCGGTCTCAGCCGTACTTTGTTCCGCTCCTTCAGCAGGTTCTTGGTCAGCTTCCTCCTCCTTTTCCTCCTCCCTCCTTAGAGTGTCTTCAGCCTGTCCAGTTGCAGTCGGCGTTACCGTCTGCCTCCTCTCTCCTTGGTCCTGCTCCTTACACTGGTCCGACTGGAGGTCTTACTGAGCGGCGTGAGCCTGCGTCTCGTCCTGCGTCGCCTGAGTCTCGTCCTGGGTCGCCTGTCCGCACTGCTCTCTCTAGTCGTCGAGTCCAGCGTCAGCGTCTTCCTGCTGTCCCAGGCACTCACCGGATGGCGCTTCGTCCGTCCACTGCTCCACAGCGTGTCCCACTGCCCTCTCCTCCTGCTTCCTCTCTTCCTGCTCTTCCTGACTCTGGGTCAGACTCTCTTCGTGCTACCAGTCCTGCTGTCACGCGTCTCCTGGCCACTGTTGTCACTGACCCTTCCTTTGAGTCTGCTGCTGCGTCTGCCTTAGTTGCTGAGCTTGTCGACTTTGCTGCTCGCTGTCGTCTAGACTACGCTGCTAGCCTAGTTGCTGAGTCTGAGTCTGTCTGTCCTCCGTCCGTCGGGGGTGAGTGTGCTCTTGGCACTGACGTCCTTGAGGACAGGCAGGAGGAGTTCCAGTGCTTTGCTGCCGCTTTGCCCCATCTCGTGTCCATGCTTGTTGCCCCTGAGGGAGACCCGGATGCACCAGACATCCCGACCCCACGCTCTTACGCAGAGGCGATGGCCGGTCCCTACTCCTCTCAGTGGCAGTCAGCCATGGACACAGAGATGGCTTCCTGGAAGTCCACAGGCACCTACGTTGACGAGGTTCCCCCGCCTGGGGCGAACATCGTCAGTGGCATGTGGATTTTCAGGGTGAAGCGGCCGCCGGGTTCTCCGCCTGTCTTCAAGGCGCGTTACGTTGCACGAGGCTTCAGTCAGCGCGAGGGAGTTGACTTCTTCCAGACCTTCTCCCCGACCCCGAAGATGACCACTCTTCGGGTTCTGCTGCACTTCGCCGCTCAGCGTGACTACGAGCTCCACTCGCTTGACTTCAGCACTGCTTTCCTGCAGGGCAGCCTGCACGAGGAGATCTGGCTGCGCCGTCCACCTGGCTTCACTGGGTCGTTCCCTCCTGGTACCCAGTGGAGCCTCCGACGGCCAGTCTACGGTCTCCGCCAGGCGCCTCGTGAGTGGCACGACACACTGAGGACTACGCTTGCGGCTCTTGGGTTCGCGCCTTCTACTGCTGACCCGTCGCTGTTTCTACGCACCGACACCTCACTGCCGCTGTTCTACGTCCTTGTGTACGTCGACGACTTGGTCTTTGCTACTGCTGACACTGTGGCACTCGCCCACGTGAAGTCGAAGCTGCAGAAGAGACACACGTGCACAGACCTGGGTGAACTGACAAGCTATCTTGGCTTGCGGATCACCCGGGACAGAGCACGCCGCACCATCACCTTGACTCAGTCACACATGGTGCAGCAGGTCCGTCAGCGCTTCCGCTTCACGTACTCCTCGCCTCAGCCCACTCCTCTGCCTACCGGTCACTCGCTCTCAGCTCTGCCTTCGGATGAGTCCGTAGAGCCGAGTGGCCCGTATCCAGAGCTTGTGGGTTGCCTCATGTACCTGATGACCTGCACTCGACCAGACCTTGCATACCCTCTCAGCATTCTTGCACGCTATGTCGCTCCCGGCCGTCACCGGAAGGAGCACATGGATGCAGCTAAGAGGGTGTTGCGCTACTTGTGCAGTACGTCGGGCATGGGGCTAGTGCTTGGAGGGCGAGTCCCAGTTGTTCTCACTGGGCACTCAGACGCTTCTTGGGCAGACGACCAGGCTACTCAGCGGTCGTCTCAGGGTTACTCCTTCAGTCTTGGCTCTGGTTCTGTTTCTTGGCGTTCTACTCGCTCTTCTTCTGTTCTCAGCTCCAGTTGTGAGGCTGAGATCTACGCCACAGCCATGGCGGCCCAGGAGCTACGCTGGCTCACCTACTTGCTGACCGACCTTGGAGAGCAGCCTCGTTCTCCTCCAGTGCTGTACGTCGACAACAAGGCAGCCATTGCCTTGTGTGAGGAGCACAGACTGGAGCACAGAACGAAGCACATTGCTCTGCGTTACTTCCTCGCTCGAGAGCTGCAGCAGCGTGGTCAGCTTCGCCTGCGTTACGTGGCCTCTGAGGCCAACACTGCTGATGTGTTCACCAAGGCGCTTCAGCCTTGTGACCATCAGCGCTTTTGCACTCTTCTAGGCCTTGTGCCTACTGGACCTCACTTGCTTACTTCTTGAGTCTGTTGTACTGTGATCTCTATATATAAACCTGCATGTGAACTGGTCTTGTGACCACTTGCTTGTGCTCGGAATTTGTGTGGTATCCTTGAGATCCACCCTGAGCTTGTTTTGCCTTGCTTTGCCTTGACTGGTCTTGTGACCCCTAGTTCTCCCCCACTTTGCCTATGGGGGTGTGTCAAACATTATATATGTTGTGTTAGTTTAGGCTACAGTGGGTTAGCCTATAGGGGGTACACAATTCTAGGGTTAGGTACTTGTACTCTTTTCATTGCTAGTTCATTCATTCCTGTTCAGTGATTCCAACAAGAGAGAGAGAGAGCGAGAGAGAGAGAGAGCGAGAGAGAGAGAGAGAGAGAGAGAGAGAGAGAGAGAGAGAGAGAGAGAGAGAGAGAGAGAGAGAGAGAGAGAGAGAGAGAGAGAGAGGGGAGAGAGAGAGAAGGAAGCTAATAAAACCAGTTTTTTTTTTCAGAGCAGGATGAAAACACTGATTTCTAAAGGCTGGTTCGTATGAATGATGGGGGAGATGAAATGTGGAGGAAGAAATGTTGCTCCTTGATGGAAGACAATGGTAAAATGTACAGCAGATTTCGTTCATAAGAAATGACAACTCTGTTTTCTGTTGCCAGCTCTGTATAGAGACCATTTTTCACGTACGGTGAATCCTTGGAAAAGAACGTCTTTCATCCTTGGAAATTCATGATGATGTTCTTATTACCATCACATGGCAGGCACAGGCACAAGCAGTGCCTTTTAACCTCCAAACGAAACACATCCTACAGGGCAGCTGCCTAATATCCAGCATTTGTTAAACCCTCTGCTGAAGCACCAGCACCAGCGTCAGTCAGAGTAGTTGCGTCAGCAGCAGCACTGGCCCCAGCGGCACCACCAGCAGCAGGACCCACAGCAGCAGCACTTGCACCAGCAGAATTAGTGGCACCAGCAGAATTAGTGGCACCAGCAGAATTAGTGGCACCCGCAGCAGCACCTCCAGTGCCCCCAACATCAGCAGTGCTACCAGCTGATACCAGCTGAGCACCAAGACCAACAGGGCCAGCACCAGCGCCGACACCAGCAGCAGCACCAGCAGAATCACCACCAGCAGTACCAGGATTAGATGCACTCGCACCAGCAGCTTCAGTCGCACCAGCACCATCAATAGCACCAGCACTACCACCAGCAGCAGCACCAGCACCGGCAGCACCAATAACACCAGAACCAGAGGGAATAGCACCAGCAGCATAACCGTCCTTAGCACCAGCATTACCACCAGCAGCAGCACCACTGGCAGCACCAACATCAGCAGCACTAGGACGTGAAGCATCATTGGCACCAGCACCATCAATTGCACCAGTACCAGCAGCACTAGTACCACCAGTCCCAGCGCCAGAACCAGTAGCACCAACAGCATTCCTGAAACCTTCACCACCAATAGTACCAGCAGTACCACCGGCAGCATCACTGGCACCAACACCAGCAGTGCCAGCACCAGAAGCACTAACACCAGCACCACCAGCGGCAGCAGAAACCCCAGCAGCAGCACCAGGAACACGCTGTTGTTGGCCCAACGGCTTCTGCCCGAACAAATGGTTCATGGCACGCTTGCTGCTTGCAGCAGCACCAGCCAACGGGTTGGAGGAACCGTGTGGGATAGGGACGCTGTAGCGGTAGGTTGATTTGCTGCTGGATGACTTTTTGGCCGACGACTTGCGATGTTTCGACTTGCGGTGGTGGTGGTGGTCGTCGTCATCGTCATCATCGTCATCATCATCGTCATCGTCATGGTGACGGTGGTGGTGGTCATGATCGTCGTCATCATCATCATCGTCATCGTCGTCATCGTCGTCGTCGTCATGATGGTCATCATCATCGTCATCGTCGTCATCATCACCACCACCACCACCACCGCCGCCACCAGAGGGAGGCGGGTTGTCATAGTCCGAGTCATCATTGTAGTCGGGCCCGCCACCCCAGAGGTACCGGGGCTTCTTGTAGCACGAGAAGTCGACTGCAAGGCCGCCCCTGATTGGAGGAAGTGGTGGTGGAGGGTTGGGGGCAGAGTTGTTTTGAGACATGTTCAGATGCTTTCAGCCAGGGACTTTTGAAGCGCAAGCAATCCACAGCAAGGCTGCCCCTGGTTGGAGGAAGAGGAGAAGAAGGTTGAAGAGAGAGTGGGGGTGGATTGAGGAGTGGGCTTCTCACAATTGAGGGATGGAATCCATGCCTCCAAAGGAGGAGGATTTCTTAAAGTAAGGGAAACCAGATCTAGACCGTTAGTGGTTGGGAGAGAGGGTGGAAAGCTTGGATAGAGAACTGTTGGGCAGGTGGTCTATTGGGGAATAGTGAGGGCAGATCAGAAGGCTAGATAAAGTATACATTTCAGAGTCATAATGGGAATAGAAGGTGGTTTTCTGGATACTGTGTAACATGTTAACAACACGGGCACTTACTGGTTGTTGCCATGGAAGGAGAAGGTTTTGGTGGTGGTGTTGCTTAAAGCCCAGATGAGGTAGTTGGTGGCGTTGAGCTTGATTGGTACTTTCCCCGTGCCCACCTTCCTGGCAAATCTGCGCAGGTGTGAGGGAGATTTCAAGGAGTGGGGCGGAGAAGGGGGGGGACGGAGAAGGAGAGAGCAAGGAATAAGAAGAGCTGGAAGGGGGAGTGAAAGCACATGCTTTGCTGGTCACAATCACAAAAATCAGCTAGGAGCCACATTTCCTGTCGATTGTTGCTTAACATTCAACATATCAGTGAAAGCACATGCGGGTGACAAAAACAACAATCAGCTAGGAATATTGCTGCAGCAGAGAATGTCACTGTGGCAATGCTTGCGACAACAAACAGCACACCTGGGAAGGGACCTAGGGTAACACATGGTGACATGATAAGGTAGCTCTCCCTTCTTCCATCACACTTACGTAATTGCCGTGCTGCCTTTTGCAGTAACAGCAACGCCAGGAGAGCCGATATTAAACGCTTTCGTCCTCGTTACAAGCTTCTTGCTGTAACCACCCAAGTGCACTGCCACCACTCCAGGCAGATTCCCAACGACCGCATCTGAGCCCTTCATCTTGCCCTTGTTGCTTGACCATCCAACGGCCATCCAGCCTCCCTTGGCAAGAGCGCCCTTGCGAGCCTCTATGGCGAATTTGATGACTCTCTTGGTGGCAAAGGTCCAATGGAGGAGGACTCTGGAACGGGGAAAGTGGTGGGCAATGGGGTGAGGGGCAAGGGGAAAGAGCAGGTATGAGGCAAAGCGTGCTGCTGCTGCTGCTGCTGCCTTCAATGGCGAATTTGATGACTCTCTTGGTGGCAAAGGTCCAATGGAGGAGGACTCTGGAACGGGGAAAGGGTGGAGGAAGGGGTGAGGGATGGGTTATGAGGCGACTCAAAAGCAGCCTCCCTTGGCTAGAGCGCCCCTGCGACCCTCTATGGCGAATTTGATGACTCTCTTGGTGGCAAAGGTCCAATGGAGGAGGACTCTGGAACGGGGAAAGGGGTGAAGGAAGGGGAAGAAGTTCATCAGAGCCCAGGCAGAATTGTGGTTCTCAATCCGCTGGGATTGGGGAACCATGGTACCCTACAGGCCGGCAGCCGAGACCACAATCCCCCACAACGACAATAATCACCAGCACCACCCTGTGCCCAAGCGCTACCATCACTCACAGCGGTCCATTCAGAGCCACTTGGTACGAGATACTGGCAAGAGTTGACGACGCAGAAGCCGAGCCTCTAGATAGGGGCCACTTTTGAGACGTCCCAAAACCCAACATCCTTATTCACTACCACCACCCACAGCACTACCAACACTCACAGAGCTACCATCACTCACAGCACTACCATCACTTACAGGGGTCCATTCAGAGCCACTTGGTACGAGAACCCAGCAAGTGATGACTTGACACACGCCATGCCTCCAGCAGGGGGTGACACAGGAGGAGGAGGAGACGGCTTGGGCGTGGAAGACGGCGGGGGAGGCGGGGAGGCGCGGGCGACAGGTGGCGGGGGGGAGGGTTTGGTGGAAGCAGGGGGGGGCGGGGGTTTGGCGGTGGAAGGGGCGGGAGGCGGAGGTTTGGCAGAAGGGGCGGGCGGCGGGGGATTGACGGCGTTGGGGTTGCAGGTGTAATCGATTGTGACGACGCCTCGTTGGGTGGCGTGGCCGGCGTTGAACGAGGTTGACTCGCCGTCGGAGTAGGCCCAAATGGTCTTCATGGGTCCGTTCACGAAGTTGATCTGGTCGCCCGTGCCCACCGTGCGGGAGAAACTGTGGGGAAATGGGGGAGGTAGTGGTGGGGGGAGGGAGTGGTGGGGGGAGGGAGTGGTGGGGGGAGGGAGTGAGTGAGAAAGGAGCTCACGAAGTTGATCTGGTCGCCCGTGCCCACCGTGCGGGAGAAACTGCAGGGGAGTTTGGGGGGGTGGGGGTGGGCGGGGGGGGGGGGTAGGGGAGGGGGGTCAGGTGGGGAGAGAAGAGAGAGTGAGGAAAGGGTAAGGAGCCGGAAGGGTCGTCGGAGTAGGCCCAGATGGTCTTCATGGGGCCGTTGACAAAGCTAATCTGGTCGCCCGTGCCCACCGTGCGGGAGAAACTGCAGGGGGGAGAGGGTGGGGTGGGGTGGGAGGTGGTGGTGAGAGGGGGTACGAGGGTGCGAGTGAGGGTAAGTGCGATGCGATACGGGGTCCGGGGGAAACCTGCTCGGTACTATGAACAGAGAACAGAGGGCCCCTTTGCTAGAGAGGGGCTCTCTGCTAGAGAGGGCCCCTCTGCTTACCAGATAAGCACGAATGCACGTAGTACGTACGTGGCAACGCCGCTGCCGGCGTACGGGACAGCGCCGCCAGGGTGCGTAGAAGCAGGCCTGGTGTAGGTGGCCGAGCCCAGCACGAAGGTTGCAGAGGGTAAGCGCGATATTATACTCAAATACGTACGTGGCAACGCCGCTGCCGGCGTACGGGACAGCGCCGCCGGGGCTCTTGACGCCGCTGGTGGTGTTCATGGTAGCAACGCCGCCGGGGTACGTGGAAGCAGCGCCGCCGGGGTAAGTGGTAGCAGCGCCGCCGGGGTAAGTGGTAGCAGCGCCGCCGGGGTACGTGGTAGCAGCGCCGCTGGGGTAAGTGGAAGCGGGCTTGATGTAGGTGGCGCCTGCACCCAGCGCGAATCTCGTGGTGGGGATGAGGGCCGTGGCCGAGTCGTGAATCATCTGATAGCCGCCAATTTCGCCGTAGAGTTCGGTGTTGACAATGACGGCATCAGCAGGGTACATCTTGCCGGTTGCCGACCAGCCCACGGCGAACCACCCGCCCGAGACGGCGGGCGTCTGGGCCTCCAGAGCCATGTTCACTGTCGTGCCTGTTGTGACTTTCCAATGGAGAATAAACCTGTCGGGTTGTTGGGAGGAGGAGAGGCAACAAGGAAGCAAAAGGGGATGATGGAAGTCGGCGAGTCGTGCGTCATCTTGTATGGGCCAGTAGCGCCGTAGTCTGCGGTGTGAACAATGACGGCATCCGCGGGCTACATCGTGCCGGTTGCCGACCAGCCGACGCCGAACTGTCTGGGCCTCCAAAGCCATGTTCACTGTCGTCCCTGTTGTGACCTTTCAGTGAAGAATAAACCTGCCAGGTTGTAGTGGGGGGGGGGGGGGGGGGGGGGGGAGGGGGGGGGGGGGGAGAGGAGGGGAGAAGGGTGGGCGGAAGTGGGAAGGAAGGGTGGAGGGGCCAATGGCGCATAGTCTGCGGTGTTAACGATGACGGCGTCCGCGGGGTACATCGTGCCGGTTGCCGACTAGCCGATGCGGGTGTCTGTGCTTCCAGAGCCATGTTCAATGTCGTCCCTGTTGTGACTTTTCAGTGAAAAATAAACCTGCCAGGTTTCGGGGGGAGGGGGAGGAGAAGTAGGGAGAAGATTGGGGGGAAGTGGGAAGGAATGATGGATGCAACTTGTCTAGTAGGAGTAGAGAATGGGATTCAGAAAAAAAACAACAAAACAAAAAAAACATTGCATCGAGGGATCTTCATTTTTTTGTTCAATACAACTTTTAGTGATTATGGTTGGTGTTAATAATTTCTCAATGACTCTCTGAAAAAAAAAAATGAGGCACGTTTTTTTTTTATGCTTACTTTTTATAATCACTATGACATTTACACTTTTTTGTAAATGATACAACCACGACTTCTGTTACATGCTTCAAAACCAACAGAGTTGAGTTAAGAACTAACATCTCATTTTTACTTCTGGTGTGATTAGTGTATCCTCTGTAGGGATACGATGATGACACCTACCCGGGTGCAAGCTGTATCGAGGACGTGAATCCGCTGCGACTTGACGCGCTGCATGTCGCCAGGACTCCCGCACGCCGTGAGTTCCATCTGGTTCCCGCAGCGCCACCAAATATTTTTTTCCCAGCACTTTCTAGTAACGATCCGAAGGTAGGGAAGCGAAAGAACGATGGAGTGGAGGGAGGCGGCGGCGCGGGAGCGGCGGCGGCGGCGGAAGTTGCGGCGTAATGTGCGACTGCAAAGAGCAGCGCGAGAAGCGTGAGGAGCTGACGGGCCATTGCGAAAGCAGGCCGTAGATGTTGAAGCACCAGATGAACACGGAAGTCAGCAAGCACTGGTGCTTCACATGAACAACTCTGCCGCAGAGAATGAAGAAGCCCACAACTCTCGACGCGATAAGGTGAACCACCAAAGCTGCCAAATGGTAGAGTCAGCGAGCACATGAAACCGCACTGGCGGCTGATTTTGTACTACACACACTGTGGTCCGCGTGCACTTACTTTGGGTTGTTTTCACCAGCATTTCATAGGAAGTCCGACATTCGAAGGTTGACTTTCTGGTTGTTCGTTTCCAAACTCTTGTTCAGTTTCACGACTCCCATCATTTTTCAGGGCGAGAGATAGGGTTTCGGGACTCGAATACGATTTACATGTTGAGGTCATCGTTGTTTCAAACCACATGGGAATTTATTAAGTTTGATACAAAGTCGTGGTAATTTAGATAAGGTGGTATTTGGAGAGAAACGTACGGAACTCCTTGAAAATGAAAAACAAATCACGTTTCACCCAGAAAATAACGCAAAACAAATCGTGGATCTCTTGGGCAAATGCGGTTTCCAGCCAGGGTGGAGGCGGGGAGAGGTGTGGGAAAGGGAAAGTATGCCAATGGTAACATACGTGGGGCTCTTTAACGCGTACAGTAACTATTTTAGTACATTTTCACGCGTTTGGTAACTCGTTTCACGCAATTGGTAACTTAGCACAGGCGAATGATCACGCGAATGGTAACTAGATGAAACTCCCACCGAAATGATCCTGACTAAAAGGAATTTGTTAAATTGAAAGATTTCACGGACCATTTTACCGATATTGAACGATTCCCGCCGCGACTTTGAAGGATTGCGTTTGTTCAATTACCACGGACCAAATAGTTTCAGAGTAGTTTCATATCTATTTTAAGCTCGGAAATATAGTACTAACAAGTACAATTATATTTTTGCAAGCATGATTGCATAATTGCAAAATGGTGAAAGTTTCCCGGAAAAGCGACAATAATTTTATTTAAAATTGTGTAATTCATGCAACGTGGGATAATTTTGGAGGTGGGAAAATAATACCCTTCCGAATGGCATGCCTTTATTGTAGAAATAACATTGAACGCCTTGTCGCAAGGAGTTTAGGGTTGATGCTCTCAAAATCATTTGCCATCCGAAAGGGGTATATATCTTTTGCCCCGGTTGTACGATAGAATTAAGTGAAATCAAAATTCCGCGAGCGCCAGAATATCCGCATTATATTACGGTTTTTTAAACAGCAACTTTTTACGAAATAGTCCGTATTTCGGAAAGTGTGTCAGAATTTCGGAATGTGTGTCAGAATTTCGGAAAGTGTGTCAGAATTTCGTGCTTCAGGACTCGTCAATTCAGTCTGGCGCGAGCGGGAAAAACCAGAATCAGGGTCAAGTTTGACGAGGGTTTCTTCTAGTTACCATTCGCGTGATGGCTTGCCAGTGTATAGTTACCAAATGCGTGAATCGAGTTACCAAACGCGTGAAAATTCATTGTTATGGTTACCGTACGTGTTATAGAGCCCCATGTATGTTACCATTCGCATATTTTCCCTGTGGGAAATGGGGGTGCTGGCATGAGGTTGTGGTGGCAACCGAACTGAACAGTGGACATTGCCAACTGGCATGGACGGAGGCTACTGTCTTTGTGTAAATTTATGGTCAGGTGGGACGAGGCACTACAAGACAACGCGAGCAGTAATACAAAGCAGTGTGCCATATACTGTATTTGAGCTTGAGATAACGATCATACTATCAAAACATAATGTATCGCCTTCTGCTGTCGAAACAAACTATTTCCAAAAAAATCGGTGGGTCAGGTGGAAGGTGAGCGAGTTTTTGGGGAGCAGTCCCCAATGGGGGTGCCAAGGGCCAGTCGGAGGTTGCTGGTCGATGCGCCGAAACCGGGCATTTCAAAATGTCAATGGTGCTATGAATACAACTTTTCTCGTTGGAAGTTGCTGGTCAAATCGTCCTATGTTCATTTCGGCTTCCTCGATATGCCTCGAGGGCAGAAGAAACGTTTACTCGTTGACATCTGCATCGAGGTTGTTTGGAAGCTACCTTCGTTGATGACGGTCCGATCATCGTGTCTATGTGGCGGCCCATACATCGATTTGGCGGCGATGCTGTACAAACGGGGCCAGAAGTGTGAGAGTGACGCTACCATACGAGTCGGGTGGAGTGAAACGAAAGCGACTCGTGGAAACTGTGTCAGTAGTAACAGCTCCAAATTTATCCTTCATTCGTTCCGACTCCATATAATTTCCTAGGCACGTTAGTTGCATATCGACTATAAAACATTACACAATGAAATATAGCGGCAAAGCATACAAACAATTGAAGAGGTGAGGTTGAGCACCTTGCCCAGTCAACTGTGAATGCAGTCTCTGTTAAAGACTAACGGACCGGGCAGACTTGGGAGCTTGTTGCAAACATACAGTAAGCACGTCTGAATTGGAGCGAGAGGAACTGGTGTGTGAGCTTATGGGAATGCATATATGCATCATTTCCAACGGACGTTTTTTAGCCTGGAACATCCTGTGTTCTATAATGAGATACGGTAACAGGAAAATACATGACACATAGTCAACCTCCAAATATAGCTTTCCAAAAGGCTGATTTCTTCGCCCACCAGTCAGCATTTGTCAAACTCGTCCCAGTGCCAACAGCACCATCGGCACCGTCAGCAGCACCAGCAGTCGTACCAGCAGCAGCACTCTCGCGGTGCTGATGCCCCAAGCCCGTCTGCTGGTGCAACCAGTTCCGCCGACCGCTGCTTAAAGCCCCACCCGTTGCCGGGTCAGGGGAGGTGCCTGCAGTGCCTGCTGTGCCGTCCATGCTTGCGGCGCGGGCACTGTTGAACGAGTTATCATAGTCTGAGTCATCGCTGTAATCCGGCCCGCCACCCCACAGCGCTGTGGGCTTCCTAAAGCACGAGAAGTCAACAGCAAGGCCGCCTCTGAGGGGGGTTAGGGGGGAGGGAAGGGGAGAGAGGGAAGGGAAGGGGTCTGATGAGGCGCCTTCAGTGCCTGCTGTGCCGTCCATGCTTGCAGCGCGGGCACTGTTGAACGAGTAGTCCGAGTCATCGCTGTAATCCGGCCCGCCACCCCACAGGGCCGTGGGCTTCTTGAAGCATGCGAAGTCAACGGCAAGGCCGCCTCTGATAGGGAGAGAGGGACGGGGAGGGACGGGGAGGGAGGGGATAGTGTTTGAAGGACAACAAAGTGCCTCACCAGTCATGGTAGCATGGCTACTGGTTCCAGCCATTGAAGGCGAGAGTCTTGAAGGCTGTAGTGCTGAATGATGGTGTTTGAAGGGTATCAATATGCCTCACCAGTCATGGAACCAGGGTTGCACGGTAACCAGGTTACAGGGTAACGTGAGGCTTACTGGTTCCAGCCATGGAAGGCGAGAGTCTTGGAGGCTGTTGTGCTGAAGGCATATATGAGGTAGTTGGTGGCGTTGAGCTTGATGGGCTTAATGGTTACAGGGTTACATACATGGTAACAGGAGGCTTACTGGTTCCAGCCGTGGAAGGCGAGAGTTTTGGAGGCCGTGGTGCTGAAAGCATAGATGAGGTAGTTGGTGGCGTTGAGCTTTATTAGCACCGCTCCCTTGCCCACCTCCCGAGTGAATCTGAAGAGAGGGGAGAGGATGGGAGGGAGTGAGACAGAGGGATGGGAGGGAGTGAGATAGAGGGATGGGATGGGAGGGCTACTGCTGAAAGCATAGATGAGGCAGTTGGTGGCGTTGAGCTTGATTGGCACCGCTCCCTTGCCCACCTCTCGAGTGAAACTGAAGAGAAGAGAGGGCAGAAGGGAGCAAGCAGAAGGGAGAGAGGGGAGAGAGAGGGGGTTAAGTGGGGAGATGGGGAAGGGGTCAAGCGAGGGACAAAAGGGGAATGATATCCCAACATTGACGGATCCAAACAGAGCAACACACACAGCAGCAGAATGGATTTTCACTGACACACACAACATCTCACAAACTCAGTATTCACTCAAGACACACACTCAGAACCCACACAGCACACACTCACGTGATTGTAGTGCCTCCTTCAGAGGTGGTAGCGACAGCAGTATCCCCGATAGTGAACGCACTCGTTTGCTTTATAAGCTTCTTGCTGTATCCACTCATGTGCACGGGTGCCACGCCAGGCAGGTTCCCAATGACCGCATCTGAGCCCTTCATCTTGCCCTTGTTGCCCGACCATCCAACGGCTATCCAGCCATCCTTGGCTATAGTGGCGCCGCGTGCCTCTATGGAGAATTTGATGGTGGTGCTGGTGCTGAAGGTCCAGTGCAGCAGCATGCTGAAAGACAGGGAAATCAGGGAAGGGAAAGGGGGCGAGGAAGGGGAGAGGGGAAAGCCAGGGTTGAAGATAGAGTGGTTCGCGTGCCTCTATGGGGAATTTGATGGTGGTGCTGGTGCTGAAGGTCCAGTGCAGCAGCATGCTGAATGGGGGAAGGGGGGAAGGAGGATGCAGAAGAGGGGTTGGTTATAGTGGCGCTGCGTGCCTCTATGGGGAATTTGATGGTGGTGCTGGTGCTGAAGGTCCAGTGCAGCAGCATGCTGAGAGGAGGGGAGAGTTGAGGATGTGAAGGAGCATGGGGGAGGGATGAGGAAGGATGGGGGGAAGGATGGGGGGAAGGATGGGGGAAGGATGGGGGAAGGATGGGGGGAAGGATGGGGGAAGGATGGGGGGAAGGATGGGGGGAAGGGTGGGGGGAAGGACGGGGGAAGGATGGGAGAAGGATGAGGAAGGATGGGGGGAAGGATGGGGGAAGGATGGGGGAAGGATGATGGGGGAAGGATGGGGGAAGGATGATGGGGGAAGGATGGGGGAAGGATGATGGGGGAAGGATGGGGGAAGGATGATGGGGGAAGGATGGGGGAAGGATGGCTCACAACGGCCCGCCAAGCTTCACTTGGTAGTCAAACCCTTCAAGAGACGACCATTCATTCAGCAGACACCTCTCACCCTCTCCAACCCTCTAACGTGCCTGGCAGAACTACAAGCCTCCCTCACCCCTTACCAACTCCCCCCTTCCCCTTCCTCTCACTCACAGCGGCCCGCCAACGAGGAGCACGCCACACCCGCTGCCGGCCTCACCGCTTCTTTGCGCCCCTCCCCTCACAGCCCACCCTTAAACCTGTCACACACACAACACCCCCCTCTTTCCCCGTGCCTGACTCACAGTGGCCCCCCAAGCTCCACTTGGTATTCAAACCCTTCCAGACCCGACGCCGGGCACGCCACGCCCGCAGCCGGCCTCACCACTTCCCTGCACCCGTCACAGCCCACCCTTTCACCCTGCCTGCCACACACAACCCCCCCTCCTTTCCCGTGCGTCACTCACAGCGGTCCCCCAAGCTCCACTTGGTATTCGAACCCTTCCAGAGACGACGCCGGGCACGCCACACCCGCAGCAGGGGGCGCCGGCGGTGGTGACGGAGTGGCGGTGGGAGGGGGAGGGGAGGCGGAGGCGGCAGGGGGAGGCGGGGACGCGGAGGCAGCGGGGGGAGGCGGGGGGGAGGGGTTGGCGGAGGCGGGGGGCGGAGAGGGCGTGGCAACGGGGGTGCCGTCGCAGGAGAAATCGATGGTGGTGCTGCCGCGGTTGCCCCCGTGGCCGTCGAGTGAGGTGGAGGGGCCGTCGGAGTAGGCCCAGATGGTCTTCATGGGTCCGTTCACAAACGTCACCTTGCTGCCCGTGCCCACTGTGCGGGAGAAGCTGTGCGGGGGAAGGGTGTGTGGAGAGGGGGTGGGTTGGAGCGGGGGAGGCGGGAGGGCAATGGTGGAGGGTCCATATGGTCTTCATGGGTCCGTTGACAAACGTGACCTTGCTACCCGTGCCCACCGTGCGGGAGAAACTGCAGGGAGAGTTGGGACGATAGGGGGGAGGGGGGAGAGGATGGGGAATCGGGTGGGGGAGGGGAGAGAGAGTAGTGTTGACGAACGTGACCTTGCTGCTTGTTGAGAGAGAGTAGTGTTCACTGCGCGGGAGAAGCTGTTTGGGGGGAAGAAGAAGGAGGGGAGGAGCGGCGAGGGGAGAAATTGGGGGAGGGGGAAGGATGGGGGAGACGTTCACGAGCGTGACCTTGCTGCCTGTGCCCACCGTGCGGGAGAAACTGTGGAAGGGGGGAGTGGGGGAGGGTGGTGGGAGGGGAGTGGTGGAGGGGCCGTCCGAGTAGGCCCAGATGGTCTTTAATGGGCCGTTCACGAGCGTGACCTTGCTGCCTGTGCCTGCCGTGCGGGAGAATCAAGGCCGGCGGATAACGTGGGCGAGCCCACCGAGAAGGCGGCCGTCCGAGAAAGGTAGAGACGTCAGAAAAAAAGGGAAAGGGCGAACGTACGTGACAACGTAACACCGGCGGAATAAGTGGGCGAGCCGAGCGAGAAGGCGGTCGTAGAAGCAATGCTGGCGCTAGCTGTCATAACCCGATACTTTCCAAATTTCTCAAAAGCGACTCATTTTGAGAAAGGCAAAACGAGAACGTACGTGGCAGCACTGGCGGAATAAGTGGGCGAGCCGAGCGAGAATGCGGTCGTCGAGACAATGGTGGAGCTGTCGTAACTCGTTATAGTGTACGCGCCGATGTCCGCGCCCGCGGCGTGCGCGATGACGCAATCCGAGGGGTTCATCTTGGCGTTCGCCGACCACCCCACCGCGAACCACCCGCCCGAGGCGCCTGCTGACGTGGCTCGTAGAGTAATGTCGACGGTTGTCCCAGTGGTGGCTTTCCAGTGCAGGACCAGGCTGGCGGATTGGGAGAGGCGGAAGAGGGAGGCGCGGAAGGGGATAGGCGGAATGGGAGGGCGGAAAGGCGGACGCGGAACAGAAATACGGAAAGGGAACGGGGGAGGAGTTCGATACGAGACGAGTTTTACAGAAATAAAGAAACCTCGAAACTGCGAAGCGTACTATGTTTATCAAGTTTCTGCTAACAAAGTGAACAATTCGAAAAAGGTTCACGGCGGAAATTTCTCGCGCCGATTTTTTTTTGTTTTTTTTACCACCCAACAAGGGTTCAAAGTGCAACGCGTCCAGTAGTGTTGGGTGACGACGCGATCCATACTAAGGCCGATGACGCGATGCGGCGTACCCCCCTTTCAGTATTTTCGACAATGTTTTCAGCGTATGGTGAGAAGATATCTGAGGCGTCGGCGTATTCGTCTCCGAGACGCAAAATTTGCATTCGGGAGGGGTTGGTTTGGTGGCACGGAGTATTCGCGTGTGGCGCTAGACTTACCCCGCTTTCAGTGTTTTCAACGACGTGTAGCCACTGAGGCTCGAAGCGCTGCACGTCGCCGCCACTCCTGACCTCCCCGGCGCCAGGGGTGCCGGCGCCGCCGCCGGCTTGAGAGTTTCCGTGCCGCCGAAAAAGAGCTTTCCGCCTTCAATCGACCCCACGGAGATGGAGAAGGGGAAGAAGGACGAAATGGCGGGCGGGGGAGGGGCGGGCGCGGCGACGGCGGCGGCGGAGGAGGCGTAATTTGTGACTACTGTTGGAGATTACGTGTGTCGGAAGCAAGGTGGTGGTGGGGCGTTTGTATGCCCCCAACCCACCGAATGTGTGACTTGTGCTCACCTTCGAGTGAGTTGCAGGTTTGCGTTGTGCTCACCTTCGAGTGAGTTGCAGGTTTGCGTGGGGTTGAGGATTGACTTCGGAAGACCCATTCGATTCGGTGCTGTTGGAGGTCGCGTGAGTTAGAAGCAAACGGTGGTGGGGCAATTGATATGCCCCCAACCCACCGAATGTGTTTCGGTGCTCACCGCTTGAGAGAGCTGCAGGTTTCACGAAGTGTGTGGGTTGACTTCGGAAAACCCACTCAATTGGTGCCACATGGCAACACAAGAAGGATCGAGACTAAGGAAGAATTCGGTTCGGTGAAATTCGGGTGCCGAATTTCACCCCTTCGAATTGTTATGCGAATGTTCTCGATGCATCTCGTATGTTACATGCACGACTCGATGTTTTGAGTAGCTATATATTGTGATTGCTTTGTATGCATGATATACTGAAAATCAGAGTTTTCTATACACAGTTCAACTCGACACAAAATCCAGAAACTTTCTATCCTTCAATCTTAGAGCACTACCTAGCACGTTGAAAGCCGTATCTCAGCCGATACTTGGGCGAATTACGTGTTCTACGGCTCCTTGGAAAGCCAAGAGTGTGCTCTACTACTTAGGACAATTCCTAGTTCCTGCCAACTAGAGGACACGCCTCTACAACAGTGGTATCAGAGCTGGTCGGAGGAGTCTACGCGCGCGACAAGGAGCAAGCATGATGACGTCAAGCGAGGCCTCCCGCACTTCCTTGGATGGTGTCGTTGTAAATACCGGCGAACCCTGGGCAACCGCGACGATGTTCGACACGTCGGCGGTACCGATTTTCACGGGACAAAATTACTCCGCGTGGAAGTTTAAGTTCCAAGTGCTCGTGATGGAGCGGGGACTTTGGGGATTCTTCGATGGAACGGAGAAGAAGCCGGACGACGAGAGCGACATCGCGGCATGGAAGAAGAAGGACCAAAAGGCGTTCGCTACATTGATTTCGCGCATCGGCATCAATCTCGTGAGCTCGGTGCGCATGTGCATCAAGCTCGAAGCGTCGGCGCATGAAGCGTGGAAGCGGCTCGAGACCATCCACATGAACAAGACTCTCCACGGCAAGATCCTAGCCCGGAATGCGTTCTACACGGTGAAGATGCGCGCGGGCGAATCGATGCACGAGTTTGCGACTCGTGTGGAGGAACTCGGGGAAACGTTCATGGACCTCGGTGGAACGGTCACGGAGGAGGATTGGATTCTCACCTTGCTTTGCGGCCTTCCGGAAGAGTGGTCGACGGTGATTACGACACTCGATAGCGTGCAAGACACTTGGACGAAGGAAATGGTGGTTGGTCGGCTTCTCCATGAAGAATCGCGTCGCCGACAATTCGCTAATGAGAGCGAGGGTGCCGCCATGTACTCCGGAGGGAGTTCCGGAAAGAAGTCCAAGTGGAGCAAGGACGCAACGAAGGAATCGTCCGGTGGGAGCGAGCATCGCGGCAAGTGTCACTATTGCCGCAAACCGGGACACTTTTGGCGTGAATGTCGAAAGCGGCCGAGCGATTGGACTCCATCGATGGCGCGGGACCAAGAGGGCAACGCCCACACGGCATCCGGCGAGGCCGATGATTCAAAGGAGTCGCTCGTGTTAGTGGCCGGCAACGGGAACAAAACTCCAAGCGACGCGTGGTTCCTCGATACCGGCGCAACGCAACACATGACGCACTCGGCGTCGCTCCTCAACAACATTGGCGCTCCGGGAGACGTCACGAGCATCGTGTTCGGAAACAACGAATCGCTACCGGTGGTCGGAGTTGGGAGTACGCGCCTCATCGTCGATAGCGGTCCGGTGGACGTGACGAACGTGTTTCACGTCCCGGGGGTGAAGGTGATCCTTCTATCCGTCCCGCAACTTGCGAAGAAGGGAGTGATCGCCACGATCGACGGTGCGAAAATGAACCTCTTTTGGAAGGGGGAGCAATTCGCGCAAGGTGTTCTCAACGGAGATATCTACCAACTCAAGACGTACCCGAGAGCGGCTTCATCCAACGTGGCGCAAGGCTCCAAGGCGACTCTCAAGGCGTGGCATAATCGGCTTGCGCACGCCAACTACGACTCGGTCAAGGAGTTGGCCAACAAAGGACTTGCGAAGGGAGTCGACGTGATCGCCGGCGACGACGAGAAGGGCGTGTGCGCGGCGTGTGTCGAAGGAAAAATGGCTCGCAAGCCATTCGGTAGCCGAACGTCACCCCTCGCTAAGGACCCGCTTGCATTTGTTCACATGGACGTGTGTGGACCGATGCGACATGCATCAAAGGGAGGAGCGCGGTTCCTCTTGGTGATGCTCGACGACGCGACGCGGATGTGTTGGACCCGACTCTTGAAGGCTAAGGGAGATGCGGCCAAGGCGATTCAAGAGTGGGCGCTCGATGTTTGCGACGACGACAAGAAGCGGATCAAGTGTATTCGCACCGACGGTGGGGGCGAATTCGTGAACGCGGAGCTTGAGAAATGGATGAAGTGCAAGGGCATTAAGCACGACGTCACGACACCCTACATACCCCAACAAAATGGAGCGGCGGAGCGGCTTAATCGCACGTTGGTGGAAGCCGTTTGTTCACTACTTCAACACTCCAAGCTTGGGAACGAGTGGTGGGGAGAGGCGAGTGCGCTAGCGGCATGGATTCGTAATCGTGTGCCGACAAAGGTGCTACCGGGAATGAATCCGTTCGAAGCATGGACCGGAACGAAGCCGAACCTATCCCGCCTACGCACCTTTGGGTGCCTTTGCTACTACCATATACCGGATCCTCTTCGCCACAAGTTGCAACCGAAAGCTCGTGCGGCGATCTTCTTGGGAGTTGCGCCAAACGAGCGTGCATGGCGAGTGTGGGACTTGGGTGAAAAGCGTGTCGTCACGTCTCGGGACGTGGTCTTCGATGAAGACAAGTTCCCGTCGAAGGAGAAACCCACTCAACAACTCACTTTCATCCTTCCGCCACGAGAGGAGGTTGAAGAGAGTGAGACTCCACCTCAAGTGGAGAAGGAAGCCGATGGAGGGGGAGAGAACAACGAGGACAGCGTTGATGATGTCGTGGAGGTGTCACCTACCGAGGCGGCAACTACCTCCACACCTTCCTCCCTACCATTGGCCTTGACCCGCGAGCGTCGTGAGGTTCGTCCTCCCTCCAAGTACGCCGACTATGCTACGGTAGCCGTTGGGAAGTTGGATAAGGAGGGGGCGGCATTTTGCTTCGCAACCATGGGTGATGATGAACACATGGATCCTCTCATGGAACTACCCCCTAAAGATCCGTCCCGTGCATGCTACGAGCATGTTGGATTGCACACCTAGTGGGTTGGGTGCAAGGGGGAGTGTTGGAGGTCGCGTGAGTTAGAAGCAAACGGTGGTGGGGCAATTGATATGCCCCCAACCCACCGAATGTGTTTCGGTGCTCACCGCTTGAGAGAGCTGCAGGTTTCACGAAGTGTGTGGGTTGACTTCGGAAGACCCACTCAATTGGTGCCACATGGCAACACAAGAAGGATCGAGACTAAGGAAGAATTCGGTTCGGTGAAATTCGGGTGCCGAATTTCACCCCTTCGAATTGTTACGCGAATGTTCTCGATGCATCTCGTATGTTACATGCGCGACTCGATGTTTTGAGTAGCTATATATTGTGATTGCTTTGTATGCATGATATACTGAAAATCAGAGTTTTCTATACACAGTTCAACTCGACACAAAATCCAGAGACTTTCTATCCTTCAATCTTAGAGCACTACCTAGCACGTTGAAAGCCGTATCTCAGCCGATACTTGGGCGAATTACGTGTTCTACGGCTCCTTGGAAAGCCAAGAGTGTGCTCTACTGCTTAGAACAATTCCTAGTTCCTGCCAACTAGAAGACACGCCTCTACATCAGGTGCCACATGGCAGCACCAGGAACATTCGAGACCCAAGGAGAATTCGGATCGGTGAAATTCGAGAGTCGAATTTCACCCTTTCGATGTTACTCGAACATTCGCGAGTGTAGCGGTTCGAGGTTACTTGTGCGATTCGATCTTGTTTGCATGCTATAAATCTGTTTTCTTTGTATTGCATGCCATCATAGTGAAACTCAGAGTTCTTTGTACAAGGTACATTCGAACACAAATTCCAGAGAGCTTCTTTACTTGCATTCAAGAGCACCACCTAGCACGTGAACGCCTATATCTCGGAGAATACTTAGGCGATCGACGTGTTTGACGGCTCGTTGGAAAGCTAAGACAGAGCTCTATCGTTTAGAACAAATCCCAGTTCCTGCAAAGTAGAGTAGAGTCCTCTACAACAACTACAACGAGCAGCGTGAGCTGAAGCGCGAGGAGCTGATAAGCCATGGCGCGGAAATGGTTTAGCCAATGTGCTTTTGAACGAGAGGCGTCGAAATGGTTTAGCTGCGTGGAAGGGCGAAAATGGGGCTTGAAGATGGGATGCTGCGGTATGGTGGAGGGTGAGTGGAGATGGCGATAATGAAATGTTTTTCCGGTGGGCTTGCGATATCAGCTGAGTGACGACGATACAATTCTGCGACACGCCGCCAGCGACTCGCTGGCAATATCAGCTCAGTATGGACGTTATTTTTCGCCGTCGTAGATTAGTTCGCTGAGTGCGTGCACGGCGAGGAGGAGAAACTGGCGGGAAGAAACTCGGCGAAGGGAGCAACGAAGCAATGGACAAGCTAGGGACCACCATAGGTAGGGGGGACCACTCACGCCGGATGCTTGACAAGGCAGTCAAGGAGTTTGTCGGGGAGTTCAGAGGTTGCTCGCTGCTTTTATTGAGGGAGAGCAAGGAGGTTGAGGAATTTGCAACAGCAGAACCAGAATTCCGTAGGTTCGGATTCAAAGCAGCGCGATTCGGGAACTGGGCTGGGAAGGAGGCGCAAATTGAGCCGAGCCGAGTTTCGCACTTGCTGGTTGGGGGAGATGTGTGGGCAGGTATGGGGCGGCGGGGCAATGCAGCAAGACGTGGTCGGCGCCCATTTACGCTTTGGAAAGCGTAGGTTTGGCTTTCAAGGCTCGGGATGAATAATCTAAGCCAGGAAGATCCCAAGCTCGGGGATGGGTTCTCCCGTGGCTGTCTCTTACTGTACCTCGCTCTTGTGAATCTTGACCCTGCCCGGGCCCGGTAACATCCCAAGCTGGGACGAAGGTGAGGGGAGGGGCGATGAACCGCCTCTGATTGGCTTCCAGAGGTTTGGCGGCGGAAAGGAGGGGGAGTCACCGCCGCCCTGCGAGGCGTCTCGCCTACTTCTGCGACAAACAACCCTGGCGACACGCCTTGTTCACATGTCGGACACACGAAACTCACAATACGCACCGGTTCCACACAGCGCCCACAGAGATCCCACACACATCACATCACATTACACCCAGTCTCGCTCGTTCTGAGCTCGATCCGTACCTGGCTGGCCTGTAGCGATGCCAGTTTTCATCCACTAATTACTGTAGAGCCAGGAAAAAATGCGGAGTTTATCGGCATACAAAATAATGACTGGTTAGTTTCAGCATGTTTTGAAGGGAATGCTAAATCAGGGTAAGGTATGGTAGTAACATTGAAGCACGTTCTGAAGCCAAACAAATAGCTCGATAATAACGCCTAATATATATGTTTACACCACCTGGATATGTAGCAAAGCATGAGAAATGCCTTACAAAGAGCTAGACTCGTTCATCTATCCACCATTGACCCAGTCTGCATCCCCCGAGTCCCTACCCAACCCAAACCTTTCCACACGCACCAACCGCTCAAGGACTCCTCTCCTGCCACCACTCTCCATTCGACCGCCCCGCTGCTCCATCATAGAAACGCACTCCCGACTTCCGGTTTGCAGCACCTGCATCACCAGCAGCAGTACCAGCAGTGCCAGCAGCACTGCTCGATTGCCCCTGATCAACAAGCGTTGCAGTGAGTCCAGCAGCATCGCCAGCAGCAGCAGCGTCAGTGGGAAGGCTGGCGCCCTGCCAGGGGCCGCCCGAGTAATCCTTGTCAGCATCGGAGTCATCGCTGTAGTCGGGGCCGCCTCCCCACAGGGGCTGAGGCACCTGGTAGCATGCAAAGTCCACCGCATAGCCGCCCCTGTGGTGGGGGGGTAGGGGGGAACGTAGGAGGGGGCTTAGAAATGGGGATTAGCACTGGAGTGGTTATCATGGTAGTCGGGCCAACCTCCTCACAGGGGCTGAGGCACCTGGTAGCATGCAAAGTCCACCGCATAGCCGCCTCTGTAGGAGTGGGGAAGACGAGGTAGGGCAAGGGTCAGGAATAGGAGCGGTTCAGAAATGGGGAGGGTCAGGGATGGGAGAGGGTCAGGGATGGGAGAGGGTCAGGGATGGGAGAGGGTCAGGGATGGGAGAGGGTCAGGGATGGGAGAGGGTCAGGGATGGGAGAGGGTCAGGGATGGGAGAGGGTCAGGAATGGGAGAGGGTCAGGAATGGATTACAGAAGAGGGGGAGGTGGCATGTATAACGGAGGGGACAGAGTAGCCTCGAAATTCTTGCAGGCATACAGGTGATACCATCCGTCCCACCTCTCCTGTCACTCCCAGCTCTGCCGTCATCCCCATGCACACTCTGAATTCCACTCAATAGTCCCTCCCTTCTCTCCCACCACCCCCACCACCCCCACCACCCACAGCACACGCACTGGTTCATGCCGTGGAAATACAGCGTCTTGGACACCGTCTGGGAAAACGCCCAGATGAGGTAGCTCGTGGTGTTGAGCTTCAGAGGCACGTTCCCCGTGCCCACCGTGCGACTGAACGCGATCGACGTGCCGCCCTCACTCGTGGTCGAAACCGACGTGGTCCCGAGAGAGAATGAAGTGGTTTGCTGGATGTTCTTTAGCCGATAGCCGTTCATGTAAAACGCGCCCACGCCCGGGAGGTTCCCGATGACTGCATCTGAACCCTTCATCTTGCCCTTTTTGGACGACCATCCGACGGCCATCCATGCGTCTTTAATGATGGTGTTGGAGCGGGCTTCAATGAGGAAGTTGATGACCGTGTTGGAGGCGAATTTCCAGTGCAGCAGGTAGCTGGGAGGGTGGAGAGGGGCGGAGAGGGGTGGAGAGGGGTGGAGAGGGGTGGAGAGGGGTGGAGAAGGGGTGGAGAGGGGTGGAGAGGGGGTGGAGGGGTGGAGAGGGGCGGAGAGGGGCAGAGAGGGGCAGAGAGGGGCAGAGGGGCGGAGAGAGGCAGAGAGGGGCCGAGAGGGGTGGAGAGGGGTGGAGAGGGGTGGAGAGGGTGAAGAGGGATGGAGAGGGGTGGAGAGTGGCGGAGAGTGGTGGAGAGGGGTTGGAGAGGGGTGGAGGGGAAGGAGAGGGGTGGAGAGGGGTGGAGAGGGGTGGTGAGGGGTGGAGAGGGGTGGAGAGGGGTGGAGAGGGGTGGAGAGGGGTGGTGAGGGGGGGCATGAGGGAAGGAGGATGGAACTACAGGCCTCACACACACTCCCACTTACACACTCTCTCACAAACCCACACACCCCCCCACGTACTTGCCACTGCCCAGCTCTAGCTGGTACTCGTATCCCGAGAACGTGGAAGCGGGGCACAGCACGCCCTTAGACGGCGGAGTGACGGTGGAGGGCGGCGGGGGGGAGGGCGTGGTGGAGGCAGGGGGAGGCGGAGGGGAGGGGGAGTTGGTGGAGGGGGCGGGCGCGGGCGCGGGCGCCATGACGGTGCTGTCGTCCCCCATCAGGCCGTTGCAGGAATAATCCACCTGCGCGGACCCACTGGAGAAGGAAGGGAAGAGAGCAGGCACAAACAGAGGGGGGAAGGAGAGTCAGTGAGGGCGTGGGCGCCATGACGGTGCTGTCGTCCGCCATGAGGCCGTTGCAGGAGTAGTCTACCTGCGCGGACCCACTGGAAGGGGGAGGGGGAACAAAGAGGGCAATGGAAAGAGTAAACGCGGAGGGGAATGGAAGGATATAGGGGAACTTAGGGGTTGAGAGTAGACGAGTTGAGAGCAGTCTGTGTGAGCGGGCCTTGTTCCCTCACATGTATTCCCTTCCATTTCCCCTTCCCTATTTCCTTCTTCCTCTCCCTCTTTCACCTTCCACCCAACCAATTTGTCCCTCTTCCCCCCTCCAGTCCCTATCCCCCATCCCCCACGCTCCCCCCTCCCCCCTTCTGCTTACGCTGGCACGGGGTTGCTACCCATTGGCTGCCCGTCCCTGCTCGGGTAAAACCAAACCAGGTTCATAGGTCCGGACGACTGGAATGTCACCGAGCCTGTCCCCTCGGTTCGGCTAAACCTGAGACAGCAAAAACGAACAGAGAGAATCACAGAAGCAACAAGGCGCAACGTTCGATGCCAGACACTTGTTTATTTGGACGGTCGGCCTTCAGCCAGAATGTCGGCCGTCAGTTCAGACGGTAGCCGTCAGTCAGACGGTCGGCCGTCAGTCGGAATGACCAAGTACGACCACAGAGGGCGAAATAACCAGAGCACGGGAAAAGAACAGGGAGCAGCCATAGAAGGTGCAGTTTCTGAAAATGACGATATTGGGGACATTGGCGGAATGGCGAAATGACGACAACGAACGCGACATTTCGCCGATCGCTCGCGACGCGAGGTGTACACACAATGCAATGGTGCTTCCGCGTGGGGCCGCTCTGAACTCACAATGCGATGGTGCTGTCGCCGAAGCCGACGGATCCGGCACTCCCAATGTTGCGTGCTCGTCTGCGTCATCCGCGTCGCGGCGCCCTGCATCTGCGGCGCCTGTTTTTGAGTCACCTAGAGAATGGGTACTCGTGTGGGCACTCCCTGTACTCACAATGCGATGGTGCTGTCGCCGAAGCCGACGGACCCGGCGCTCCCGATGCTGAGCGTGTTCGTTTGGGTCATGATGGTCATGCGCGTCTCGCCGCCCTGCATCTGCGGCGCGGTGACGCTCATCGTCGTGAAAGGCTTCACTTCGCCGTTCGCGATGTTCGCGAAAACCGCGTCGGTTTTGACGCCGTTTTCGACGGCGGTCCAGCCGACGCCGAACCAGCCCTTGGCCCGGGTCGGGTCGGCCTCGAGCGCCATTTGAACCACCGAGCCTGACGAAGCGCGCCAATGGTACGTGAGTCTGCGCAAAGAACAAGGAGGGGGGGCGAGGGGCAGAAAGAATGACTTTCGAGTCGACTCAGAGTCAGCAGAGCGCGCCAATGCCACGTGAGACTCCGCGGAGGATGAAGCGCGCCAATGGTATGTGAGTCTGCGCGACGGACAAGGGCGGGAGGGCAGGCGGGGGGAAGGGAAAGGGGCGGAGGGAGGAGGTGGGTGTTTAGATCTTTGCGAGGAATAACAAGTGGGTCGTCATGCCATATCATGTGGTGTTTCCCCCAGCGAGGCGCATGATATGTCATGAAATAGAGGCAGCGACGAATGAAGCAACGGAGCGAGGGTGTTTATAGAAACACCGAAGTCTTTCCTGCATATCATCACTGTCACGTAAGTAGAGTTGATTTTTTAGTCCACTCATTAAATCACCTTCGTTAAAAAACCATCATTTGCGCGTTTCAGATTGTGTCGGGACATGCGAGGCGCGATGAAATGCGTCTCCAAACATACGCTGGCGCGAGTTTTGAGGCGCCGAAAACAGCGAGTTAACGCGACTCGGAACATACCCTGGCGCGAGGACCTTCGACGAGGTAAACCCGCTGGCGGCGAGCGATGACGGGCCGCACTTCGCGGCGCTATGCTGCGCGGGCGGCGGAGGCGGGGAAGGCGGAGGCGGGGAAGGCGGAGGCGGAGACGGAGATGGCGGCGGAGGCGGACTCGGAGACGGAGGCGGAGGCGGGCTGGCGAAGCGGAGGTTTCCGCGGTTGATGGAGCCCATGGTGAGGAACGGGAAGAAGAACGAGAGCGCATCCGGCGGAGGCGGAGGCGGAGCGTTTTTTACGGCGAGCGCGGTGTGCGAGTGGACGAGCAGCAGCGAGAGCAGCAGCGGAAGTGCGGCCCTCGTTGCGCGGAGATTTGCGCGGCCCGCGCGCACGGCGCTGGCTGACGAGGCGGCCATGTGGAGAGCGAGTAGGTTGGCGGCGGCGGAACGAATGGAAGAAGAGGTGCCGGGAGCGGCTGCGCGCGTCCAGGGAGGAGGGGCAGCAAGAATGGCTCTCCTGCAAACTCCAACTGAGAAACCACACCCGCGTTTGGGTTGGAGTTTGTTGAGCAGAATGGGATTCAAGAGCTTCTTTGAATCTCTGAGATTGAGAAGTCAGGAGTGCAAACCGAGGGCGTGCAAGCGGAACGCACATCGACTCACAGACACAGGGGCGGCGGTAGAGACGAAGGGGCACCAGGAGAAATTGGGGGCGATGGACAAATCGGATTTGGGGGTCAGGTAAGGGGCGGATGAGGGGGCGCGGGAAAAGGTGGAAGGCAGGGTGATTCGGGACGAGGTGGGGGAGGAGCGGGGGGGGGGGGGAGGGAGGGTTTGGGTTGGGGGGGTGTGAATGACTGGTGTGGTCCTTTGGCGCACCAGGTTGTTTGCAACAGAGGCGTGTCGAAATGGGGGCTATGCGGAGCCGCGTGAATCGCTGATTGGTGGGAGTTGGCTTGTAGGGGCTAAGGGAAACATTCAGCAGCGACTCGGTACAGGGCACAGCTGGGGGTGAACATTCCCCTCCCCCAAGCTTCAGCGGCGCCCAGGGCTGGACGAGTTGAGTTGAGACCTGGCAACTCGAGATTGAATGTGGTGACGAAGTGTTGCGATATAGCTGCAAATTGACGAGAAGTGTTCGCAAATGACGGACAGCCAACCATTACGCGGCACAAGAAGGTTCGCGACACCACACACAGAAGCACTTTCGCGTGCCACGCGCAATCATGCTATGGCAGAGCAGCATTCGGGACCGCGTGTATGAAGAAGGCGGCGCCGACATGGCAAAACCGCTGGTTCGGGAACCCCGTGGCGAGACCACAGCTTTGTTATGGTCAGGTAAGGGAATCAGGAGTTGGTTCGGCGTGTAGGCCACATGGCTTGACCAAACCAAGGAGAATCATTTTCCTGATTGGGCAACACAAGGGTCGCACAGCTGAATGCTCCCCCTTGCTGTGGCGTTTGCGCGGCCACAGCTGGATACGCGCTTGTGTCAGCTTCAGATTTCGTTGTACTGAGCTAAAGCGGAGCTTCGAATCCAAAAAACGTAAAGGGCCCTTTCATAATGAAACACACATGTTACGCACACATCACCAAAAGGGAGTGCCATGTCCTCCTCTCCAAACAAACCCATGTGGAGGATGGCTTCGACTCAGGCCAACCCTCCTCCACAATAAATCCTCTGCTAACTTCAACCCAAGCTCCGCTTTCCTCACCATTCCCAAACCCCTCACATGCATTATTAATAGAACTATCAACTACACGCATATTATTCGAGGTCAAGTATTCCGGGTCCCACCGGAGTTCAGCAACAAGGAATCGGAGCTTCCGGGGAAGCTTCCTCGACCGAGCATCCTCAGAACACCTGTGAATAGTTTCAAGCAAAACATCTCCCATCAATGGCGTCGCAATCCCATCGGGCCGCGCTGCAAAGCTGGCACCAAATTCGGCATCCTGACAGGTGGCACCTGGGTCAGAGACAGCACCAGGGGAGATATCATCCAGGCGAGGACCAGGGGAGGTGGTAACTGGATGCTGTGGCCGCGCGGGGGAGGTTGTATCTGGGACGATGACAGGTGAGAGCCATTCAGCCTTGGGAAGGATGTACCAGCAGGAATGGGCATGCCTCGGGTGGTGTACCACCGCTGCTGCATCATGCGTCCACCACCCATGCCAGTGCCATGGAAACACACCAGTGCATGGCGCTGCTGCTGTGCCTGCTGCTGCTGCCTCTGCTGCTCCCTCCGCTGCCGTGTCTGCTGCTGTGCATGTCACTGTGCTACTCTCTAGCCAGGTCCCATCGCTGGTCAATGAATCCAATGCAGTCTCTTCAGTCTCTGGTGTGGCCAGTGCAGTCTCGCCCTTGCCATTCCTCCCTCCACAGCCCTCCTCCATCGCTCTCATTTCCACCCACAGGGGATACTCATAGAACAGGTACCCCTGTAACAGTGCAGCTGCTTGTAACGAGGATATTCTCCCCACAGGGCTCGATTCCTCTCCACTCTCTTCCGCCCCACGAGCCTCAATCCCTGCTTCGGTCTTCTCAGCCATCTCACCATTCCTCAGGATTCTCTCACTCTCCTGTCCACGCCACCTTCTATCAGATGAGGGTGGCGGGTCTGTATCTGTCGACCCGCCTCCCTCCACTGTACTACCATACATCCTCGTTATAAGCTGGGCCCCATGCCCCTGCTGCCCCAGCTGCAGCTGGCGGCTGAGCCGGGCCTTGCGATCGCGAAGGGACTCACCCACGTGGGGACCCAGGTACTGCCCCAGCAGCCACTCACGGTCAGGTGATTCCTCAGGTGGGACTCCCTCAGATGGGACCTCCTCAAGTGGGACTCCGGACTCGCGAAGAGACTCCGGACTGCTGATACTGCTGCTGCTACAGCTGCTGCTGCTGCTGCTGTTACAGCTGCTGGTGCTGCTGCTGTTACAGCTGCTGGTGCTGCTGCAGTTACTGCTGCTGCTACTACTGCTGCCACAGCCGCTCTGAGAGGGAGGGAATCGACGGGAGAAGATGGCCAGAGCATCGTCCCACGAGCCCACAAAGAGGAGAAACTTCACTGAAAGTTCCCAGTGGTGGAGCACAGGGGCGGGTGCTGCCACAGCTTCATCACCACCAGCACTGGCGGCAGCTGCATCAGCATCAGCTGCAGCACCTGAGGCCATGTCAGCATCAGCAGCAGGAGATTGAATAGCAGTACTAGCAGTAACAGCAGCAGCAGCATTGGCACAACCAGTATCAACAGCCGCAACAGCGGCTGAATCCCCACAGCAATCGTCAGCAGAAGCAGTCGCATCAAGCTCTCCCACTCCCTTGAACGATAAATCAGGCGATTCAGAACGAAGAGACGGGAGGAGAGGAGGACGAAGAGAGGTTGAGTGAGGAGGAGGGGGAAAGCGGTGTGGCAGTGTGAAGAGCACATCAAACTCCCCCACTGTCTGGATTCGTCCTTTTCTGTCCCTCGATTCACGCAGGAATCGCTTTCGGGCTCGCCTGCCCATCTGCCGCAGCTCCGGAAACTCCAGTTCCGGCCGAGCCGGAGCCAGCTCCAGGTTCGGTACACCAAGGCCCTCTAGGCTCGGTAAGTTCGCCTGGTCCGGACCCGGTTCTAATAATTTGGAGTATGTCATGTTGACTGCGGAGGGTTCAGCAGGTTCGGACAGAGGTTCGGACAGGCTGCTGTCAGTAGCTGTGCTTGGTTCGGGGAAGATGAGGCGGGTAGGCTTTCCCCGAGCCTCTGAAACGTGGACCTGGACGGACGTTCGGAGATCCCGAGGCTTCAGGTTCGGGCCAAACGTGAGAACAAAGAGGATGCAGAGGGCATAGTGATCGCCCAATCGGGCGCTCTGCTTCTTCTCCCTGAACCATGCTGCCACGTGTCCTCCATCCAGTGACTCCAGCCACGCCACTAACGCATCTTGACCGTCCATCTCGTCACTGTCACACAAATTGGCACCCGAGAGGTCGTTATAGTCGCAAGGGTTTGGTGAATTAGTGTACTGAGGATGGTGATCGGACGAGGTGGAGTTGGGGAGGGTGGTGGGCATTAGGAGGGAAGAATTGCTGGCGAAGACGTGTGGGTCCACCACCGGTAACTGGCGGAAACAGGGGGGAATGGTAAGGGGTGGGGGCAGGGGACGGGGGGAACAGGGGGAGAGAGAAGAAGAGCTGTTGGCGAAGACGTGTGGTCCCCCACTGGTAATTAGCGAAACCAGAGGGGGGAGGGAGTGGGGGCAAGAGGAGGGGAAAAGGATGAGAGAGAACAGCAGGATGAGAGGAAGAGAGGGGGGAGAGGGGGAAGAAGGGGGGAGAGGGGGGGAGAGGGAAGAGAGGGGGGAGAGGGAGGAGGGGGGGGAGGAGGGGGGGGAGAAGGGGGAGAGGGGGGAGAAGAGAGGAAGAGTTGTGGGCTAACACGTGTGGGACCACCACCTGTAACAGGCGCAGCAAATGGCGGCTTGGTGCTGGCAAGGCGGCAGCAGCAAATGGCGGCTTGGTGCTGGCAATGCGGCAGCAGCGGGAAGGGGGAGCAGCAGGTGTGGAGGATGCAAGGCCAAGGGAGCGTACTTGGTCGGAGGAGAGCAGTAGCGGCGGGCATAAGACGACAAAAGCGATGTCTCGAATGAGCCTGGCAAGGGGCAGAGGGGGGGAGTGGGGGGAAAAAGGGGTGGGGGGGGGAAGAAGGCGGAACGGAGAAGGGGGAGCGGAAGGAGGTGTGGGGGAGAAATCAGGGGGACGGCGAGGCGTGAATAGCAGTTATCGGAGCTTATCAACGATTACCAAAAACGGAAGGTAAAATTCCGCATTCGGTGCACGTTCCGTTGACTCAAATTCAGCAGACTCACTTATGCGGGAAGCGAAGCAGCTCCTGTTGAGTCAGAAAACGTCCAGCCTGTCGCACAGGCCTTTTATGCGACTGCCTTGCGACGGTATCGTCCGCCTTACCCGTCGCCATCCCCGCGACAGAAGCCGAAGCGCGCCGGGTCGCGCAGGATGCGTAGGGAAATTGGGGAGGGCGCACGGCGGACGGCGGAAAGTGCTCGCGCGGAGATTGCTTCCGCAGAAAAGGCTCGCGCGGAAAGCGACTCCTGAAATTCGCATTGACGAGAGAACAAGACAACAAGTTGGCTACCCGCATTCCAAGCGAGGATTGTTGATTACAAATAAGGATTGTTGTGGACTACAGTATGGATTGTAGGACAGCAGACTGGAGCAGCCACATTTCAGCTGGCACTGTCAGATGTTGGAATCTGGTGGAATTGGAATCTCCGCTGTTAGCTGCTCTGTTGTAATGCGGGTATTTTTTGTTGCATCCAGTGTGATACAGAAAAGTCTATTATGATGCTAGCATTGAGCACACTTACTCTTGCGGTGTACAAGAATCGAGGGCTGAATGGATCGTTGACTTTTGGAGAAAAGACTCGTCAACTCCAGCCGAACCGACCACTCACCGATTGCCAGTCTTCGTTCTCAGCTGACTCGTCTTCGCAGCCACGTCACGAAATCCACCCCTTCGCCGCAGTTTACATTCAGCACCGGAAGAAACATTGGCCGTCGATCTCCACCGACAATGTCTTCACCCTCGATGGTTTTCCGATCTCGCGTCGCAAACTGGCGTGCGCGACTAGGGCAAGTGCAATTCTGTGGGAGGAGATTTCAGCTAAGGGGGAAATGTGAGTGGAGAATATAAATTCCAAATCCAGTTCCAGCCAACACAGCAGAAGCACAACACCATTCCGCACACACCTTCAGGGCACCTGTTTCAAAAAGCCCTTTTCAGTCCAGACGCTTGAACTTGGCGCCATTCTCCTCTATTTCGGCTTAGCAACCTAATATTTCGGAACATGGGCATCAGGGATATTGTTTTCTTGGTGGTGTTGGCTGCCATTTTTCAAAGCTCCGCTCTTGCCGCAAATCCCAGGCGTGAGCTTCTCACTCATCACGTGGGAGCTGTCAAGCCATCTATTGGCAGCCTGTGGCGCGCGAGGTTGAACAGCAGGATCGCCGGCGCCTCCATTTCCACTGAATCAAGAAGCTCTGCTCCTGCTAGTGGTGCTAGTGGTAGCAGCAGCATCCGGAGCACTGCTGGAACTTCCAGCAAAGCAGCAGCAACCAGTACTTTACCAAGTGATGCAGCTGCTAGTGGAGGAAATAGAACGCTTGGGAACAGGTCTGCAGCAGTGGTTAAGGCGAAAAATATCACAGTGGGAACCAGGACCGTTGGAGCCACGAGCCGCACAGCTTCCACTTGTGATGCATCGTCGCTTGCCGACTACACCTCCTCCGTTCAGCTCTCCTCCGAGTGAGTTGCATTAGAAAATTCTCCGCCTGCAAAGAATTGGTTACATTTTGGTTTTACCTCCCATGATTCACATTGGCATGCCCTTAAAACCCCTGCATTTCACCCGTCTGAACTTTCATTCGATCAATTTCACTTTGACCCATTCATAGCATAACACTGATGTGTGTTTTCTCCATCTGTTCCCCAGCCTAACACTCCACTGGAAGGCTGCAAGTGCATCCAAAGTCAATCTTGCTTTGGAGGCAGCAGCAGGCAGCACGGCAGCAGCGGGGTGGGTCTCTCTGGCATGGTCTGCAGTCGGCCGCATGGCCCCTGCTGATGCTGTCATTGGGAATCTTCCTGGCGGCGCTGTGGCGGCTTATTATATGAACGGGTATGAGCTCAGCAACGTGCAGCCTACAAGCAGCTTCGATATTGGCAACGCGGTTCAAACTACATCGGCTTCCGGCTCCACTATTATCGAGTATGTTTTGTTTCTCAAGTTCGGTTTAACCATATTCATGGCTACACAACCAGCACTTTTGATTCTCATTCACTGCCATTTCATGCCCCTAATACTGCTTCTCAGAGTACCAAGCCATGTCTAATCATGTGACTGCATGCTACATGTGCCTCATTCCAGGTTCTCCCGCGTTACAGGCGACGGCGCCGTACCAGTGAACGTTGGCAGCAGCAACACACTCATTTGGGCCTTCTCCCAAGGCGGCTCTCAGACCCTGGGGTTCCACGGGGAGAACGAGTGAGTGACCTGAATTCCTTTTTCCATGCATTTCAAAAGCAGCAACACACTCATTTGGGTTCTCTCAAGGTGGTTCTCAGACCCTGGGGTTCCACGGGGAGAACGAGTAAGCTACCTTCTCTCCTTCTTTCCAGTGGATAATTCTCAGCTACCCATGCTGCACGTAGCATACCAAATCTGACTCATATTCTGTGCTCCGATTTGCTGCTCGTTTCCTGCCCCTTCCACGCCTGTCTCACCCTCTCATCGCAGTGGAGAGGCCACAGTTCACTTCTCCTGTGACGGCTCCTCCTCCTCTTATCTTCTGTGCCCCCCTTTGCTGCTCCCTTCATGCCCCTTCCACGCCTGTCTCACCCTCTCATCACAGTGGGGAGACCACAGTTGACTTCTCCTGTGACGGCTCCTCCTCCTCCGCTCCCCCCTCCACCTCCCCACCCTCCTCCCCTGCACCCCCCTCCACCTCCCCTCCTTCCTCCTCCTCCTGTGCCACCTCCACCCTCGCCGGATACACCTACTCTGCAGCCCTTGACTCCTCTCTCACACTCCACTGGACCACGGCCAGCGCCACCCAGGTCAATCTAGCCCTGGAGGCAGCAGCGGGGTGGTTCGCCCTGGCATGGTCTGCAGACGGCCGCATGGCCCCTGCTGATGCTGTGATTGGGAACCTTCCTGGCGGCGCTGTGGCGGGTTATTATATGAGCGGGTATCAGCTGAGTGATGTGCAGCCTACAAGCGGCTTCAGTGTTGGGAGTGGTGCGGCATTGACTACTGCAGCTGGTGGCTCCAAAGTCATGAAGTAAGCTTTCTGCGTTGTGAAGCTATACTATTTCTAGGACCTTGTAGTTTTCTCTCATTGATGGCTAAATCTCTCTCTCTCTCTCTCTCTCTCTCTCTCTCTCTCTCTCTCTCTCTCTCTCTCTCTCTCTCTCTCTCTCTCTCATTCTCTCTATCTCTCTCTGACAGATTGTGTGTATTATGATCATGTGTTGAGATCTTGTTCTAATGCTCTTCGTGGCGCCACACTGGCAGGTTCTCTCGCACGGCAAGTGACGGCTCCATCCCAGTCAATGTGAACGGCTCCAATACGCTCATCTGGGCATACTCCCAGGGAGGCTCACAGACCCTCGGCTTTCACGGAGAGAACGAGTGAGTCACCTTCACAATTGGCTTAATGCGACACATTGTTCCGCTTATTGGCGTTTGCGCCTTTCCTGTTCGAAATGGAATATCCGATAGCATCATCATCATATTCCGATGTCTCCCTCATGCTCTGCCCTTCCCTTCACTAAAACGTTACCAAATATTACCCAATTCTGATTACTGCAGTGGTGAAATCACCTTGGACTTCTCATGCACTACCTCCTCCACCGGTGGTGGCTCCGGTGGTGGCATTGGTGGCGGCAATGGCGGCGGTGACAACAACGGAGGTGACATTGGCGAGGGGCACCACGAGCATGGCCATGGGCATGGGCATGGGGATGGGGATGGGGATGGGGATGGGGATGGGGATGGAGGGCACGGGGGCCCTGGAGGGCATGGGGGTCCTGGAGGTCCCGAGGGTCCTGGCCATGATGGGGATGGAGGGGTTGGAGGGGGTATGGTGGGGAACTCCACTGGTGGTGGGGAGGGTGGCAGTGGTTGGGCCGGTTGGTGGAACTGGTCGGGCTTGTGGTAACGTATGGACATGTACTAATGGGGGGCATGGCTTGGGCATGGAAGGAACAACTTGTCAAGAAGATTGGAGAGTTGACGGGCTTGGGTGTTATATGAATATGGATCATGGCGATTGTGGAGGATATAGAGTGGTGGAGAATGAAGGAATTTGCCATGTCAGAAATGGTAGCTGTGGGACAAATGGTAATGTGTAAACTTCTACTGTTTATGAGATATTGGATATGATAAATTACAAATGGTGTAGTCCCAGTTGAGTTCTATACAAATAATTTCTCATTGATTACTATCATTTTTGTCTGTTTGGTTGCAATGACAACGCACATCGCAAACGGTAGTGATATTATAGTCTTGCAATTTCATGTCCATAATGTTTTTTTTTTTTTTTTTTTTTTTTTTTTTTTTGTGGTGCCTCCTATACTTGTCTCAGTCAATCTTAATTCCTGGGGAGAGGAAGACATGACTCCCCCAGAACAAGTTTCTTTAGGAGAGTAAACATAATTGGAAAATGGGCTACTTCTAACGAGGCCGTCCATATGCGCTGCAGCACGAGATGGTTCTTTCCTCCCGAACACTCATTCCTGGCTACTCCGCGCCAGACGCCAGACTTGCTGTAACGGGCAATTATGTCGCCCCACGCGCATCGCTGCCGCACAAGCGTCGGACGGCTCCTCTTGTCGCACATCGCTCCTCCGCGGCCAACCCTTCCGCCCTCCGCGTACCTCGCTCCTTCCGCGCAACTCGCGCCAGCTCCGCCAGACTCCCGGCAACCACTACACACCTTGGTTCCACACCGCTCTGCACCGGACTCTGCTGCTCTCAAATCCGCTTGCACTCCTCTTGTGCCGACCTCTTATTGGCTGAGAGACTCCGCAACTTCCGCGATCGCAGATGGACTCTCCGATTCGCGCGTGCTCCTCCTCCACGCGCGTCCCGCGGAGCCGGTTTTCCCGGCGCTAATCGCTCCAAGCGCGCAGTCGATTCTCCCATTAGTAGAATCCGCAGCGCGCCGATATTCATCTTCGGCGCTTAAATCGCCGGCAAATGCGGAAGGTTCGAGTAGAGAGGCGGAGGGGCTGCCTGGGAGCGTCATCGCAAAAATGTGAAAATGCGGGTCTGAGGGGGGGGGAGGAGGGGGTCTGTTCTGGAGTTGAAATCTGCTTCGTAAATGATGGTACACAAGGGACATTGCCCGACTAGCTTTTTCGTATGGTTTACTGCCTGGAAACTTTCGTGAACTATCGCGAACTGTCGTTTACTGTGCAGTTTTGTTCTGGGGCAACTCTCGATGCTGGGATTCATCCCGTCAACGGGCGTTGACTGTCGTTCGGGTACTGTGCTGGAACTCTGTCACTGTTGCGGGCTTTCTCACTGTTCACTTGCCCATAAACCACACCTTCTTGCTCGTTCACACAGGGTGTTCAATTTCGGTGGTGGGGGCGTGGAAGCGGGAAGCGATTTTACCGCCAAAAAAATGAACGGACGGGTGGTGGCTTAGAATGCCACGTATCGTGCCTCTCGCGTTATGGGATTGTTATCTTCAAATTATGTACAATCTAACTTCATTTCCCAAAATCTGTACTCTTATAGACTAATTTACAAACCAAGTCGTTGCATATATTTGGCTATAATTGTGTACCTCTAATCCGTTATGTGCCACTTTTGCTTGGGGTAGGTATAACATCTGCGTATTTTCGTTCAGGACTTTTGTTTATAACGTCAGATTTAATCTTATTAAAATGATCTGCACGTATATACTAATAAACGGCACTCGCCTAAAACGACTATTTGTAGCATCAATGGAATACATACTTCTAATGCTATATACGGTAATAAGACACCGCATTAGAAAAAATAGATACGCAGGCTTAAAACAACACCATGTAGCGCCAACGCCTATCCTAGCAAGGATTTTACCTGTTCTGCGCACTGACACTTGTCTACCTACCAAAATGAGATGCGAATGATCTCAAACCCGGATAGCCTCACCTAGATACATAGTAGAGGCTATTGGTACAAAGAAACTGGAGTTAAAATAAGGGGCGGGGCTATATTCTGCTGATAGTGCGTTGGCTGCCTATCCTTGCACATATTTGACCCGTTCTGCGCACTGACGCTTGTCTACCTACCCAAATCAGTTGCGAATGGTCTCAAACCCGGACAGCCTCACCTAGATACATGGTAGAGGCTATTGGTACAAAGAAACGGGAGTTAAAATAAGGGACGCGGCTCTATTCTGTTGATAGTGCGTTGGCTGCCTATCCTTGCACAGATTTGACCCGTTCTGCGCACTGACGCTTGTCTACCTAACCAAATCAGTTGCGAATGGTCTCAAACCCGGACAGCCTCACCTAGATACGTGTTAGAGGCTATTGGTACAAAGAAACGGGAGTTAAAATAAGGGACGGGGCTCTATTCTGCTGATAGTGCGTTGGCTGCCTATCCTTGCACAGATTTGACCCGTTCTGCGCACTGACGCTTGTCTACCTACCCAAATCAGTTGCGAATGGTCTCAAACCCGGGCAGCCTCACCTAGATACATGTTAGAGGCTATTGGTACAAAGAAACGGGAGTTAAAATAAGGGACGGGGCTCTATTCTGCTGATAGTGCGTTGGCTGCCTATCCTTGCACAGATTTGACCCGTTCTGCGCACTAACGCTTGTCTACCTACCCAAATCAGTTGCGAATGGTCTCAAACCCGGATAGCCTCACCTAGATACATGTTAGAGGCTATTGGTACAAAGAAACGGGAGTTAAAATAAGGGACGGGGCTCTATTATGCTGATAGTGCGTTGGCTGCCTATCCTTGCACAGATTTGACCCGTTCTGCGCACTAACGCTTGTCTACCTAACCAAATCAGTTGCGAATGGTCTCAAACCCGGATAGCCTCACCTAGATACGTGTTAGAGGCTATTGGTACAAAGAAACGGGAGTTAAAATAAGGGACGGGGCTCTATTCTGCTGATAGTGCGTTGGCTGCCTATCCTTGCACAGATTTGACCCGTTCTGCGCACTAACGCTTGTCTACCTACCCAAATCAGTTGCGAATGGTCTCAAACCCGGACAGCCTCACCTAGATACATGTTAGAGGCTATTGGTACAAAGAAACGGGAGTTAAAATAAGGGACGGGGCTCTATTATGCTGATAGTGCGTTGGCTGCCTATCCTTGCACAGATTTGACCCGTTCTGCGCACTGACGCTTGTCTACCTACCCAAATCAGTTGCGAATGGTCTCAAACCCGGAAAGCCTCACCTAGATACATGTTAGAGGCTATTGGTACAAAGAAACGGGAGGTAAAATAAGGGACGGGGCTCTATTCTGCTGATAGTGCGTTGGCTGCCTATCCTTGCACAGATTTGACCCGTTCTGCGCACTGACGCTTGTCTACCTACCCAAATCAGTTGCGAATGGTCTCAAACCCGGACAGCCTCACCTAGATACAAAGCAGAGGCTGTTGGTACAAAGAAACGGGAGTTAAAACGAGTGACGGGGCACTATACTGCTGATAGTGTGTTGGCTGCCTATCCTTGAACAGATTTCGTCCGTTCTGCGCACCGACGCTTGTCTACCTATCCAAATCAGTTGCGATTGATCTCAAACCCGGACAGCCTCACCTATATACATAGCAGAGGCTGTTGGTACAAAGATACGGGAGTTAAAACGAGTGACGGGGCACTATACTGCTGATAATGTGTTGGCTGCCTATCCTTGAACAGATTTCGTCCGTTCTGCGCACCGACGCTTGTCTACCTATCCAAATCAGTTGCGATTGATCTCAAACCCGGACAGCCTCACCTATATACATAGTATAGGCTATTGGTACAGAGAAACGGGAGTTAAAACGAGTGACGGGCACTATACTGCTGATAGTGTGTTGGCTGCCTATCCTTGAACAGATTTCGTCCGTTCTGCGCACCGACGCTTGTCTACCTATCCAAATCTGTTGCGATTGATCTCAAACCCGGACAGCCTCACCTATATACATAGTAGAGGCTATTGGTACAAAAAAACGGGAGTTAAAACGAGTGACGGGGCACTATACTGCTGATAGTGTGTTGGCTGCCTATCCTTGAACAGATTTCGTCCGTTCTGCGCACCGACGCTTGTCTACCTATCCAAATCAGTTGCGATTGATCTCAAACCCGAACAGCCTCACCTATATACATAGTAGAGGCTATTGGTACAAAGAAACGGGAGTTAAAACGAGTGACGGGGCACTATACTGCTGATAGTGTGTTGGCTGCCTATCCTTGAACAGATTTCGTCCGTTCTGCGCACCGACGCTTGTCTACCTATCCAAATCGGTTGCGATTGATCTCAAACCCGAACAGCCTCACCTATATACATATTAGAGGCTATTGGTACAAAGAAACGGGAGTCAAAACGAGTGACGGGGCACTATACTGCTGATAGTGTGTTGGCTGCCTATCCTTGAACAGATTTCGTCCGTTCTGCGCACCGACGCTTGTCTACCTATCCAAATCAGTTGCGATTTATCTCAAACCCGAACAGCCTCACCTATATACATAGTAGAGGCTATTGGTACAAAGAAACGGGAGTCAAAACGAGTGACGGGGCACTGTACTGCTGATAGTGTGTTGACTACCTATCCTTGAACAGGTTTGGTCCGTTCTGCGCACCGACGCTTGTCTACCTATCCAAATCAGTTGCGATTGATCTCAAACCCGGACAGCCTTACCTATATACATAGTAGAGGCTATTGGTACAAAGAAACGGGAGTCAAAACGAGTGACGGGGCACTGTATAGCTGATAGTGTGTTGACTGCCTATCCTTGAACAGATTTGGTCCGTTCTGCGCACCGACGCTTGTCTCCCTATCCAAATCTGTTGCGATTGATCTCAAACCCGGACAGCCTCACCTGTATACATAGTAGAGGCTATTGGTACAAAGAAATGGGAGTTAAAACGAGTGACGGGGCACTGTACTGCTGATAGTGTGCTGAAGGACCTGCTGCACCATGTGTGACTGAGTCAGGGTAATGGTGCGCTGTGCTCTGTCCCGGGTGATCTGCAAGCCAAGGTAGCTGCGCAGTTCACCCAGGTCTGTGCACGTGTGTCTCTTCTGCAGCTCGGACTTCACGTGGGCGAGTCCAGCAGTGTCAGCTGTGGCAAAGACCAAGTCGTCGACGTACACGAGGATGTTGTCAAACATTATATATGTTGTGCTTGTTTAGGCTACAGTGGGTTAGTCTATAGGGGGTACACAATTCTAGGGTTAGGTACTTGTACTCATTTCACTGTTAGTTCCAACATTCCTGTTTGTTCATCTCAACATGGTATAGAGCAGGTCCTTCGCTAGGACCGTTTTTTAGGGCCCACCACTACCTACCTACCTACCTACCTACTACGCCCTAGGGCGCCTCGTACTTCACGGCCCACTAAGGCCCCGCGACCCGCCCCTTAGCGACCTACGCGCCGCCCCTTAAGGCCCCGTCGGCCCACGCGCTAGCCCCTTAGCGACCCCGTCGGCCCCGCGATCGCCCCTAACGGCCCCGTCGGCCTCGCGCTCACCTCCCTAGAGGCCCCCCGTCGGCCCCGCGCTCGCCCTGGTCCGTTCTGCGCACCGACGCTTGTCTCCCTATCCAAATCAGTTGCGATTGATCTCAAACCCGGACAGCCTCACCTGTATACATAGTAGAGGCTATTGGTACAAAGAAACGGGAGTTAAAACGAGTGACGGGGCACTGTACTGTTGATAGTGTGTTGACTGCCTATCCTTGAACAGATTTGGTCCGTTCTGCGCACCGACGCTTGTCTACCTATCCAAATCTGTTGCGATTGATCTCAAACCCGGACAGCCTCACCTGTATACATAGTAGAGGCTATTGGTACAAAGAAATGGGAGTTAAAACGAGTGACGGGGCACTATACTGCTGATAGTGTGTTGACTGCCTATCGTTGAACAGATTTGGTCCGTTTTGCGCACCGACGCTTGTCTCCCTATCCAAATCAGTTGCGAATGCTCTCAAACCCGGACAGACTCACCTAGATACATAGTAAATGCTATTGGTACAAAGAAACGGGCGTTAAAACGAGGGACGAGGCTCCGTTCTGCTGATAATATATTGGCTGCCTATCCTTGCACAGATCTGACCCGTTCTGCGCACCGACGCTTGTCTCCCTGTCCAAATTAGTTGCGAATGCTCTCAAACCCGGACAGCCTCACCTAGATACATAGTAGAGGCTATTGGTACAAAGAAACTTGAGCTTAAATATGTGAGGGGGCACTGAAGTGCTAATAGTGACATGACTGGCTATACTTGAACATCTTCGACCAGTTCTCCGCACGGACGCTTGTTTACCCATCCAATTCAGTTGCGAATGATCTCAAACCCGGACTGGGATACCTAGATACGTAGTAGAGGGTACTGGTACAAATAAACGGGAGTTGATTGTACATAGATATAAATGTAGACGTCATTGTATACAGAATCCAATGGACTGATGTGTTCTTACCAGAAGATGTAGATGAATTAATTTAAACAATAAATACTTGGTTTGCTAGTTGTGGGGAGCTTCACGTTCCAACGAATTGTACCTTCATGACTATTTATAGAAATCATAACAAGCACTTAACACATCAGAAATGATGTATGCGAGGTTGTGAGCGGTGCAGATGTGCTGAGATTGTTATTCTAAACAGCTCGCCTTTGTCTTGTCTGTGCAGCAGGTGCTCAATTTCCCAGCCACTCTCACATCTTGCGCGCTGGCTTTTCTCTTGTCTGTGCAGCAGATGCTCACCTTCCGTTCCGAGCCACTCACATTTTTGCCGAGCTGGCCTTCGTCCTGTCTGTGCGGCCGACGCTGGCCTGCCGAGCCTCGCTCATTCGTCGCGATATGCTAGGTCGCACAGCTGTGTTTTGTCTTGTATATGCGGCTGATTCTGTGCTGGCCTTCCGAGCTACTCTCATTGGTTGCTCTAGTGCACATAAGCGATTGTGACGAGGCATGGACTTTCTCTGTGTGGTCGACCCGTGACCTCGCTGCTGGCCAACGTGGCCAATCGTATTGGTCACATCAAGTGCGAGAACGTCTCTGTTTTTTTTACCTGAGGCAAACTCGATCGGTTAGAATCCATCCTCCTCTCCCCTCCCCACGCTGCAGTTTGCTTTAAGCACGTCATCTTCATCTCACCTCTATCGACTTCGAGCTGTTCTTCTGTCTCGTTAACCAACACCTAGTCGACCATGGCGTAGCTTCACCAGCGCAACGTAGGTGTTTTTTTTTTGTGTTTTCACGTTCTTCCTACCTGGGACGATCTTCGTTGAAGCATTCTTTTGGAAAGCCGTTCCTGGTTATGAGGTGAGCAGAAGCATGCTCGTTGCGCCGTACCGTTTTATGTGACTTCGGCATATTTTTTTCAGTAGGACGTAGCTTTGTAACCTACGATCTACGTTTCTTTTTTGTGCAGGTTCATTTCACTACCATCCATTCTTAGTGTGGAGATGTGTCTGTCTTTTGGCCAGTGTTTCGTTTTCATGATTTTTTTCTTCTAACAGCGATACCTCCTGTTTCGGTTTCTGACAGGTTAACTTCAACGACGTAGCACGAAGACTGGATAAAACTGCAGGCTCCTGCGTAAGTAAGGCTTGCTGTGGCAACCGCTGTCCCTGTATTATGCAGTGTCACATGACTTCGTTTTGTCGGAGCTTTCTTTGGTGCTGCAGGAGTGGACTCTGTTAGCCTGTCCAATGTAGTTAGGTTATATGGGTAGTCGATAGTGCTATTGCATGTGGGTGATGACTTGTCACTAACAGTTTTCAAGCTAGTATCTGGTGCAGATCATGAACGTAGCTAAAGAGTTGTAACAAGTTGCCTGTTCAGAATGTGTTATTTATTGAGAGCCTTTTTCACTGATCATGCTGAAATGCACATTCAGGCTTACAATTGAAAGTATCATTTTGTTATGCTGTTCTGCTGGAAAGTCGACATTATTTATTTTTAGAACCGCGCCAGTCGAGCTCCACAATTTCATTTTATAAAGCGACATTTTATAGGCACAATTGATCGTTACGCAGTGTAACCGGATGTTAGAAGATAATGGTTACAGTTACGATTCGGGTTACGGATATATCGGCGCCCAGTCGCGACACCTGGGTGCAAGGTCGTCAACGACTGTACGCGGCTTTGAACAACCATTTACAGACGGAAACCGGGGTCCCCGTAAATCACGAGTAGCCCACCCCAGTTTACCTGGCACACAATTTTCCAACGCGAACTGCCGTACATAGCTGTGCACGACCATGCTTGCCAGTTGGGCAAGTGCTACAGTGGTACCCCCAATCGGTCGTTTACAAAGCTCTACATGGGGCCCGGTAAGTGAATCACAATTGGCTGAACGCCAATCCATTTACGGGGCACTTGGCAAACAGCCATCAGCGCAGGTAAACAACGCCTAAATCACCCTAAACAGCCGGAAACAGAGCCTGCTTTTTTGCGATGGTGGGGAATGAAGATTCGGAGAAGGTTCTAGGAGCGGAACAGATGGGGGGATTCGGGACAAGTGAAAAGAGTGGTGGGAGGGGAGGGGGAGAGGAGGAGCAGGCGTGTGGAAGCGGTGGAGAGCGGTTGAGAGGGGTGGTGGAGGAGGAGAAAGCGGTGGGAAGAGGTGGGGGAGGGGAGCAGCGAATCGTCGTGTACCGGGGGAGGTGGATGCAGGGGCTGAGGCTGATGGTGAGGTGAGTGCGGTGGAGAAAGGTGGAGAGGGGTGGAGAACAGCCTGTTCTGACGACCCGCTTTTGAGTATTCTCAAGATGGCTCAACACCCGCCCCCCCTTCCTCCCGTTCCACCCTGCCTACCTGCCTGCCTGTCCTCCCCTCTTGCCGCCACTGTGCGCTGATTTGTGACAATTGTTGGCTTCTGAGAAATTTAAAAAATTAACTTGCCTGCCTGCGCTCCTTTCTTCCCGCCGCTGCTGCACGGTGGCTGATGTGTGCAGGCTGCAGGCTCATCTCAAGGTGGCTCAAGTGGTGGGGGTGGCGTGCCTTGTTGTCTTGTGGCGCGACCAGTTTTAAAAAGTTGTCCCTTCCACCCCTGCATGCCTGCCTGCCTGCCCCCCTCTCGCCGCCGCTGCTGTGTGCGGGCTGCAGGCTCAAGGTGGCTCAGCTGGTGGGGGTAGCGTCACTGGCCGTGCCCATAGCTGCGTGGACGCAAGGGGTGAGGAGGGAGACGTGTTGAGAGGGAGAAGAAGGGGAGAGAGTGGTATAGAGCGAGAGAGGGAAGGGATAGTGCGTGAGTCAGTTGGTGGGGGTGGCTTTGCTGGCCGTGCCCATAGCTTCCTGGACGCAAGGGGTGAGATGAGAGGAATCAAGAGAGGGATTGTGGGGTTAGTGGAGGAGAGGGGGATGACAGGAAGAGTTTTGATGCTTGTTGCCGCACTCGTGTGCGTGCTACAGATGTGTGCGTGCTGCAGATGTGTGCGTGCTGCAGATGTGTGCGTGCTACAGATGTGTGCGTGCTACAGATGTGTGCGTGCTGCAGATGTGTGCGTGTTACAGATGTGTGCGTGCTGCAGATGTGTGCGTGCTGCAGATGTGTGCGTGCTACAGATGTGTGCGTGCTACAGATGTGTGCGTGCTACAGATGTGTGCGTGCTGCAGATGTGTGCGTGCTACAGATGTGTGCGTGCTACAGATGTGTGCGTGCTACAGATGTGTGCGTGCTACAGATGTGTGCCTGCTACCCAGTTGCCCTCATGCCAATTGCGTTCTCCCCATGCCCCTCACCACCCATCAGGCCTCTCTCCCTCTGGGAACGAGCGTGGCAGTGGCAGCGGTGGTGGGGGGTGCAGCAGCAGCGTCCGCCTGCCTCTGGTTCTACTCCTCGCGATACGTGGGGGAGCTGGCTCTGATCAAGGCACCTGCTGCTCCTGGGGATGAGGATGAGGATGGGGATAGGGAGGGACATGGGCAGCAGTGGAGGGTGTGTATCAGCACGCTTGACTTCTGGGGCAACCGAGAGGTGAGTGAGTCAATATATTTTATAGCAGCGTCCTCTGTTTGCGTGCCTCTGGTTCTACTCCTCGCGATACTTGGGGGAACTGGCACTCATAAGGCCTGCACCTTGGGGGAAGTGGCACTCATAAGGCCTGCACCTTGGGGGAAGTGGCACTCATAAGGCCTGCACCTTGGGGGAAGTGGCACTCATAAGGCCTGCACCTTGGGGGAAGTGGCACTCATAAGGCCTGCACCTTGGGGGAAGTGGCACTCATAAGGCCTGCACCTTGGGGGAAGTGGCACTCATAAGGCCTGCACCTTGGGGGAAGTGGCATCCATAAGGCCTGCACCTGCTGCTGCTGCTGCTGCTGCTGCTGATGGGGATGAGGAGGAGTGGCGGGGCGGGTGTGCATCAGTGCACTGGACTTCTGGTGGGGCAACAGAAAGGTGAGTTTTGAGGCGCCCCTTCAGGCGACTTTTGAGGCGCCTCAAAATGCGGAGGAGTGGTGGGGCGGGTGTGCATCAGCACACTGGACTTCTAGGGCAACACATAGGTGAGTTGAAGATAGAGGTGAGCGGAGGAGAGAGGTGAGGCAAGCAGAGGGGTTGGGAGTGAGTGTATAAGGGGATTTGAAGAGTTTGTGGAAGAGAGGGTGCGTAAGGGTGTGAATGAGGGGGTGTAACGGAGAGTGTGTGATGCATCATGCATGTGGCTTGTTGCTCCCTTATTGCCCTCCCATGCTTGATTCTCCCTCCCATGCTTGCATCTGATTTTCCCTCTCTCACCCTTGCTCACCATCTCTCCTCCCCTCCCCATGCCCCCTGCCCCACTTCTCCACTCGCCCACAACTATGACTGTCAAACACGACCATCCAATCGTGGCCGTCCAATCTGTCCACTCCATCTCATCCTGGCCGTCCTTCAGAACCTCATTCTGCCTCTCAGGTAACTCCTCACGTTCCCCCTCCTTCCACATACCCTCCTCTTTTCCGTCCGTTCTCGCTTCCCCCCACCTCATCCCCCTCCCTCCGCCCATCACCATGCTCTAGTGCTGCTGCCCCCCAAGAGTCTATCCCAACAGCACCTAAAATGCATTGCTTGCGAGTGCTTCTATCCCAACAGCACCTAAAATGCATTGCTTGCGAGTGCTTCTATCCCAACAGCACCTAAAATGCATTGCTTGCGAGTGCTTCTATCCCAACAGCACCTAAAATGCATTGCTTGCGAGTGCTTCTATCCCAACAGCACCTAAAATGCATTGCTTGCGAGTGCTTCTATCCCAACAGCACCTAAAATGCATTGCTTGCGAGTGCTTCTATCCCAACAGCACCTAAAATGCATTGCTTGCGAGTGCTTCTATCCCAACAGCACCTAAAATGCATTGCTTGCGAGTGCTTCTATCCCAACAGCACCTAAAATGCATTGCTTGCGAGTGCTTCTATCCCAACAGCACCTAAAATGCATTGCTTGCGAGTGCTTCTATCCCAACAGCACCTAAAATGCATTGCTTGCGAGTGCTTCTATCCCAACAGCACCTAAAATGCATTGCTTGCGAGTGCTTCTATCCCAACAGCACCTAAAATGCATTGCTTGCGAGTGCTTCTATCCCAACAGCACCTAAAATGCATTGCTTGCGAGTGCTTCTATCCCAACAGCACCTAAAATGCATTGCTTGCGAGTGCTTCTATCCCAACAGCACCTAAAATGCATTGCTTGCGAGTGCTTCAACTCCCTCCCTTCATCCCTCTCGCTTCTTCCCACCTCCCCTTCCCACCCCTCCCCCTCCACCCCTAACAGTGCCCTGGTGCCGCCACTCAAGGGTTTATCCCAGCAGCACATGAAGGCCATTGCACACCACAGCTTTGTGCTGCTAGATGGTGAGTGGCAGAGAGAGACCGAGGTGAGTGGTTTTTGAGGCGCCTCAGAATTCACTCAAGGGTCCCTTGAGGGTCTATCGCAGCAGCACCTAAAGAGGTGACTTTTGAGTCGACTCAAAAGTCACCTCAGAATCCACTCAAGGGTCTATCGCAGCAGCACCTAAAGGCCATTGCACACCACAGCAGCACCTAAAGGCCATAGCACACCACAGCTTCGTGCCTCTTGATGGTGAGTGGCAGGGGGAGAAGGGATGTGAATGGTGAGTGCATGACATTGTTCTTTGGTCTTCCCTTGCACCCTGCTCAGTTCCTTTCCCTCCCATGCCTACCCTCCCTCCCATGCCTACCCTCCCTCCCATGCCTACCCTCCCTCCCACACCTAACCTCCCTCCCTCTCCTGCTGCTTTGTGACGTCTACACAACCCACCATTCCCCCTCCCCCCTTCTCCTTCCCTCTTTCCTCCCCCCACCTCCTCTTCCCCTCTTCCTGCACCCCATCCCCTTTGCTCGTGTTCCAGTGCCCTCCCATCGGCAGTTCCTGGTGAGCATAAGGCACGGCTGCTACCGCTGGCACTGACTTATCTCAGAACCCACTCCCTCCCCTCTTCCTGCACCCGCCCACCCCCTCTTTTCTCTTCCCCCAGTGCCCTCTCATCGGCAGTTCCTGGTGAGCATAAGGCACGGCCGCATCCCCAACCTCCCGCTGCTGCTGGCAGTGCTTAAAGGTGAGGAGGAATGGGAGAGTGAGTTGAAGCGATAGCTGCTGCTGCTCCCTCACTCACTCACTCACTCACTCCCTCAAGCCACCTCCCTCTGCTCAAGGGCTTAGAAGAAAGCTTTGGTACGCTCCCAACTCAACGCGTCTTGCAGCAGGGTCGCAGCAGCAAGAGTAAGGCCTCCGCAGCCCACCTGTCCGCTACTGACAGGTCGCAGCAGCAGCAGCTTTGGGTTTGCTCTGCTGCTCTCTTCACAGCAGGGCTTTTCGCTTCGTCTGAAAGTCTAGCAAGCAGACAAGAATCGGCTGATACTAAAAGGCATAGGCAGGGCGGAGGTGGCTTGCCTGGCTTGCTTCATTATCCCTCGGGTCGGGGTATGCATCAGATTTCCAGCATTCAGCTCTAACTCCCTGTGCTGTTGTGTATTCTCCTCGGCCATGCATTTGGGTTGGGTCTGCAGCAATAGGATTTTGTGCCTCACCTTGTGTCAGTCACAGTTACCGTGCCAGTAATACACATTCTTTTCATTGGATACTGCAAGGATATACATATACACGGTAACTACCCAATGTCAACTAAACAACCAAAAAGGGGCAGAGGGGGCAGCACAAGTAGAACCCTCGGCAACAGATAAAACTGCAGGGGCATCCAGTCAGCACCAGCAGACAGCAACACACATCTACACTACACACGAGAAAAGCGAGCAGCACCAGCAGCAGCAGCAGCGAGAGGAGACTTGGAATATCTTGCCAACAGCAGCAGAGAGATGAAAGAGACCACAGTAGAACAGGGATGGCGAGCGGATTGCAAGGGCATGCCAGGCGGACCAATGGACCTCCTTTTTGAATGAACCAGCTCCACCCACCCAAACAGCTTCTGGTGGACTAAAAAGGCAACGCTTTACATCTTCTGGTGGACTAGGCAAGGCTCTAGAGTGGAGCAATCGCATGAGATTCGAACCTCGGTTGCAAGGCCTGCTGCTGTCTACACTGGGCTAGCTGTTTCAGGAAGAGGGAGAGGGAGTTGTGTCAGACGGCTAGCGCTTGCCCAGCAGCTTGGCGGCACGCTTGTTGGACTGCTTGACTCTGCTGTTGATCTCTGTGACATCGTCTGACAGATGGTCAACGGCCTTGTCTTGCCTGGGGGGAAGGGAGGCAGGCACGAGAAGGGGCAGGAAATTTGAGCATCACGTATGCACCATCTCTATCTGCAGGGCTGTTGATCTCCGTGACGTCGTCTAACAGATGGTCCAGCGCCTTGTCTTGCCTGGGGGGTGGTGGGGAGAGGGGGAAGGGCGATTTGAGTGCGGCTGAGGGAACTGCTCAAGTGAGAGCCGACGGGCTAGCGCTTGCCGCTTGTTGGACTGCTTCACTCTGCTGTTGATCTCCGTCACATCGTCTGACAGATGGTCCAGCGCCTTGTCTTGCCTGGGGGTGAGAGCGGGGAGAGGGGAGGACGGGGGTGGGGAGGGCAAATTTTGCCTGACTCAAGCACCGTCGATCTCTGTCACATCGTCTGACAGGTGGTCCAGGGCCTTGTCTTGCCTGCGGGGTGGTGGGTGGGCACGAGAGGGAGGAGGGGCGGGTTGGAAAGAGACTCATACAGCATCTCTTTTCTAAAAACTATTCATCTGTTTTTGAGTCGACTCAAAAGCAGCTTCATCATCAAGGGCCTTGTCTTGCCTGGGGGGTGGAGGGTGGTGAGGGAGGAGAGGCGGGTTGGAAAGACTCATACAACCTCTTCTATAAAAGCTGTTCATCTCTGATCTCATGGTCAAGGGCCTTGTCTTGCCTGGGGGGTGGAGGGTGGTGAGGGAGGAGGGGCGGGTTGGAAAGACTCATACAACATCTCTTCTATAAAAGCTGTTCATCTCTGTCTCATGGTCAAGGGCCTTGTCTTGCCTGGGGGGTGGAGGGTGGTGAGGGAGGAGGGGCGGGTTGGAAAGACTCATACAACATCTCTTCTCTAAAAGCTGTTCATCTCTGTCTCATGGTCAAGGGCCTTGTCTTGCCTGGGGGGTGGAGGGTGGTGAGGGAGGAGGGGCGGGTTGGAAAGACTCATACAACATCTCTTCTATAAAAGCTGTTCATCTCTGATCTCATGGTCAAGGGCCTTGTCTTGCCTGGGGGGTGGAGGGTGGTGAGGGAGGAGGGGCGGGTTGGAAAGACTCATACAACATCTCTTCTATAAAAGCTGTTCATCTCTGATCTCATGGTCAAGGGCCTTGTCTTGCCTGGGGGGTGGTGGGTGGTGAGGGAGGGGCGGGAGGGGAGTGGGAAGGGCGAATTGAGCCTTACTCATGCGTCATCTCTATTTGAAAAGCACCTCCCCGTCTCATAGCCCAACAGACAGACCTGAGGGCCGGCCGGTTAGCTTAGCTGTGGTGTCTATGGTGGGCTAGCGCTTCCCATGCAGCTTGGCCGCACGCCTGACTTTTGAGTCGACTCAAAAGTCACCTCATTAGCCCAACAGACAGGCCTGAGGGCCGGTCGTTTAGATTAGATGTCTATGGTGGGCTAGCGCTTGCCTAGCAGCTTGGCGGCCCGCTTGTTGGACTGCTTCACTCTCTTGTTCATCTCTTCTATATCGTCTGTCACACCGTCTAGAGCCTTGTCTTGCCTGGGGGATGAGAGAGGGGAGAGGGGAGGGCAGATTGAGCCTCACGCATGCATCATCTCTATCTGCAGCGCTGTTGGCCTCTTCTATATCGTCTGTCACACCGTCTAGAGCCTTGTCTTGCCTGGGGGATGAGAGAGGGGAGAGGGGAGGGCAGATTGAGCCTCACGCATGCATCATCTCTATCTGCAGCGCTGTTGGCCTCTTCTATATCGTCTGTCACACCGTCTAGAGCCTTGTCTTGCCTGGGGGATGAGAGAGGGGAGAGGGGAGGGCAGATTGAGCCTCACGCATGCATCATCTCTATCTGCAGCGCTGTTGGCGTCTTCTATATCGTCTGTCACACCGTCTAGAGCCTTGTCTTGCCTGAGGGGTGGTGGTGGGATGTGGGAGGGGGCGAAGGGCGATTTGAGTCTGGCTCAGGAGACTATTACAGTGAGGACCCCTGTGGGATAGTAGCACATGGCTGTGCTATTGTGTTGGACTGCTTGACTCTCCTGTTGGCCTCTTCTATATCGTCTGTCACATAGTGCATTGCCTTGTCTTGCCCGAAGGGTGGTGGTGGGGAAGGGAGGCGGGGACAGAGGCGGGGAAGAAAAGCAGGGAAGGGGAGCGAGGAAGGGACAGTAATGGGATTGGGCGGAACAGTTGGAGGAAAGGAGGTGAGGTCGACTGACAGTTTATTTAACTGCCTTGTCTTGTCTGAGGGTAGGGTGGGTGGTGGGAGATGAAAGATGGACGTGAGGGGAGAGGGGGGGGGAGCCGGAAGGTCGATGTGACTTTTGAGTCGACTCAAAAGTCACCTGAAAGGTGGACATGAGGGGAGACGCAGGAGCGGGAAGGTCGATCTCTGAGGCTGCTGCATGACTGTAAAATTTTGCTACATTGTTGAGTTGACTGTTGCAACCGGCTTGTTATACAGGCTGACCTTTGAGCCGACTCAAAAGGGCGAGGTCAGAGAGGCTGCTGCTTGAGTGTCGGTTGTGCTACATTGTTTAGTTGACTGTTGCAGCCTCTTGACGCACTTTGAGAATTCTCATAAGCCTCTTTGAGTTGACTGAAAAATCACCTCCGGCTTGTCAGTTCTTTGGGTGTGTCAGACCATGCTAGAGTCGATTCTTGGAGTTAAAATTTGCCTCAACTACAGGGTCATGCTGTTGTGATTCTTGAGTGGACTCAGAAATTACAACTGGGTCATATTGTTGTGCACTCTGGTCTTGTCTCGTCTTGTCCATCTCTCACTTGTCTTGTCTTGTCCTGTCCATCTCGGACCCCATGGTCATGGCCATGTTCCTGTCCTGCACGAGCGCTAGTAATGCATGTGATAGTCATGCAGTACATGCGCTCCACATGGAGAAGAGGGCACCACCTCATGGAGAAGAGGGCACCACCTCATGGAGAAGAGGGCACCACCTCATGGAGAAGAGGGCACCACCTCATGGAGAAGAGGGCACCACCTCATGGAGAAGAGGGCACCACCTCATGGAGAAGAGGGCACCACCTCATGGAGAAGAGGGCACCACCTCATGGAGAAGAGGGCACCACCTCATGGAGAAGAGGGCACCACCTCATGGAGAAGAGGGCACCACCTCATGGAGAAGAGGGCACCACCTCATGGAGAAGAGGGCACCACCTCATGGAGAAGAGGGCACCACCTCATGGAGAAGAGGGCACCACCTCATGGAGAAGAGGGCACCACCTCATGGAGAAGAGGGCACCACCTCATGGAGAAGAGGGCACCACCTCATGGAGAAGAGGGCACCACCTCATGGAGAAGAGGGCACCACCTCATGGAGAAGAGGGCACCACCTCATGGAGAAGAGGGCACCACCTCATGGAGAAGAGGGCACCACCTCATGGAGAAGAGGGCACCACCTCATGGAGAAGAGGGCACCACCTCATGGAGAAGAGGGCACCACCTCATGGAGAAGAGGGCACCACCTCATGGAGAAGAGGGCACCACCTCATTCACTCACTTGTCCATCTCCGACCCCATGGTCATGGCCATGCTCTTCAGCGCATCCAACACTCAGCTCAGCACTCTCATTCTCATACCCATCTCAGCACTCATCTCATGTGCACTCACTTCTCCATCTCAGCACTCATCTCATCCCCACACTCACTTGTCCATCTCCGACCCCATGGTCATGGCCATGTTCTTCAACGCATCCAGCCCGTCGCTCACATCGTCCAGCACCTCGTCCTGGAACTTGCGCTCCATCTGTGGACGTGGGTGGGTGGGTGGGTGGGGGGGGGGAGGAAAGGAACAGTAGGGGAGGGAAGGGGGGTCAACAGGGGCCCGTCGCTCACATCGTCCAGCACCTCGTCCTGGAACTTGCGCTCCATCTGTGGGCGGGGGGGTGGGGGGGAGGGGGGAGAAGCACCGCGAGGGTGAGAAGGAAGCAAGGAGAGAGCAGAAGCGAGTGAGCGAACCACATTGTCCAGCCCGTCGCTCACATCGCCCACCACCTCGTCCTGGAACTTTGTTTGAGGCGCCTCAAAAACACATCGTCCAGCACCTCGTCCTGGAACTTGCGCTCCATCTGTGGGCGGGGGAGAGGAGGGGGGAGGAGAGGGGCGGGGGTGGTGGGTGGGATACAGGAAGGGGGGTCAACAGGGGCCCGTCGCTCACATCGCCCAGCACCTCGTCCTGAAACTTGCGCTCCATCTAAGGGGGGGATAAGGGGGAAGGGGTGGGGGGGGGGGGGAGGAGGAGGGGAGGCGGAATAGTGGGGAACAGTAGGGGGAGTGAGGGAACTGCATCGTCCAGCGACTCGTCCTGGAACTTGTGCTCCATCTGTGCATGGGGTAAGGGGGCAGGGGGCAGGGGGGGTGGGCGGGGCAATGGTGGGGTGGGCAGGGGGCAGGGGGGGTGGGCGGGGCAATGGTGGGGTGGGCAGGGGGCAGGGGGGGTGGGCAGGGCAATGGTGGGTGGGTGGACAAGAAAAGAGGAACTTGCGCTCCCTTCTGCACGCACAAGGGGAAGGGAGAGGGGGTGGGGGGGGGGGGGAGGGGACGGGGGGCGAGAAGGAAAGAGGATACGAGAGGGAGGAGGAAAGGAGAGGAAGGGTGACGGGAGGGAGGTGATTGCTGAGTCAATTATGGACAACCCTGGATATGCCACTCCACGCCACGCCACGCCACGCCACGCCACGCCACGCCACGCCATGCCACGCCATGCCTCTCAGGGTCCAAATATACCCCTCTAGTCACCATTGTACAGCACCCCCCTATAATCACACTAACGTACAGTCACCATAGCCCTCTCTCACCTCGATCTTCTCCATTGCCGTCATGCCCTCCTTGCCTTTAGGAGGCGCCGCGCCCGCCTTAGGCGCCGACAATCCCAAGGCCTCGCGGCTCGCCGCGTCTCCCGATGCCGAGTCGTTCTTGTTGGCTGCATGCGGGGAGAGGGGGGAGGGGGGAGGGGAGCGGGGAAGGGAAGGGGTAGGGAAGGGGGGGGGGAGAGAGGGGAGAGGGGGAGGTTCTTCGGTTAAGGGAAGGGAAGGTGTGGGCGGGGATGAAAGGGGGCCTCTAGGCTCGCCGCGTCCCTCTAGGCTCGCCGCGTCCCCCGATGGCAAGTCGTTCGTGTTGGCTGTATGCAAGGGAGAGAACGGGGAGGGAAGGGGAAGGGAAAGGGGCGGGGGGCGGGAAAAGGGAAAGGGGGAGGGGGAGAGGGACAGGGGAAAAGGGGAAGGGAGAGGGCGAGGGAAAAAGGGCAGGGGGCGGGAAAAGAGAGAGGGGCAGAGGGAGGGGAGGGCACAGGAAAGGGGGGATGGGCGGGGGTGTGGGTGTGCCTGTGCTTGAACACGCGGTATGTGAGTGTGCGTGCATGTGACTGAACGTTACAAGGATTTTTGTCTTCTTCCCATCTTACGTGTGCAACACCGCACCACATGACACCAACTGTTGTAGCTGCATGTCAACTGCGTGTCAACTGCGTGTCAACTGCATGTCGACTACGTGTCAACTAAATGGCAACTGCATATCAAGTGCGTGTCAACTGCGCGTCAACTGCGTGTCATGTGCATGTCAACTGCATATCAACCACGTGACAACTGCATGTCAAGTGCATATCAACTACGTGTCAACTACGTGTCAACCACGTGTCAACCACGTGTCAACTGCGTGTCAACTGCGTGTCATAGGCGGCAGCTGCGTGTCGAGCCGGTTGATGCCATTACCGCTAAGAACTTACCACGTCTTTAATCGCCTCCATCCGTCTCTCAAAACCTTACTTGCTCTTGATACATGTCGAGCCAATCCATAGCTCCTTAAACATCGTACTTTAGTGCACGTCCTCAACCTCAGTACCAAAAAGAGGCCAGTTCCTACCCTCGCCGAATGAAGACTACATACATATGTTCGTCTCCGTGCCTGAAAATTAGGTCTTTAATCGCCGTACCTGAAGTCTTGGGCCCCGTGACCTTGTGGCCCTTCTTCGGCTTCCACCCGAACGAGAACATCCCGCCGAGCTTGCTCAGAAGCTTCTCGGACTGGCAGCAGGGACACAAGGACGGAGAGGGGTGGAACAGACGGGTGAGAGGCGGGGAGAGGGAGGGTAGCAGAGGGGGGGCGGCTGGGGAAATTTGTTCTGAAGCTTCTCAGACTGACGAGAGAGAGAGACGGGGGGAAATAGAAACGCTAACTTAGCAGAAATGTTTCGGGTTGGAACGGAGAAAGGTTGAGAACTAGGGCAGGAAACGATAACTTTCTTAAAAGTTTCTCGGACACGCGGCAAAAGTCTTATGAGTGGACTCAAAAGTCACCTCGTTACCGCGTTGAGCCCTCAGCTACCATGTTGATCCTCGAAGTATGCCCGCAACAAGCACGCCGGACAACGAGCACCTCGCAACGAGCACGCCAATACCAGCACGCCGTGCAACGAGCATCGCACCTTTTCCATTTCTTGATCCAACGTGACGGCGTTCTCGTGTATACGAGCGATTTGGTCGCCTTGCTCCTTAAGCGTCACCAGCGTCTGTCCCGCGACGCCCTTTGTCTGCTCCGTGATTCGTCGGAGATTAAGAGTCGCGTCCGTCAACTCGCTATTCTTCTGCAGCGCCTCGTCTTCGAGGTCCTTAAGCGTCTGCTCGCCGCCGTCGCTGCCGGTTGCGGCGCGCTGGGAGGGGGGAACCCACTTGGCGTTGGACCCCCAATCGTCATCCTCGTCTTCGATGACTGGCTTACCCGTGTTGCGACGCGCCATAGTTTTAACCTCTTATCACTAAGCGTCGAGTAATGAAGCGTGTCTCAAACTTCGACTTCTGGCGCAATTCGCCTGGCGCTTGGAGATATTTGATCTACGGGAACGAGAGGAGAACGGACTCAAGACAGAATGCGAGCAATGCGAAAAGAACCAGACTAGACACGACAGGAGACACAAGACAATTGAAACCGAGAAATGGAACTAGTGTTGTGCTGTGCTGATCACTTGTGCTGACGGTCGAAGGTTGAAAACAAACTTCAAGGAAACGAGGGCGCGGCGGGAACGAGCATCTTTGGGGGGATGGGGGGAAGAAGGTTTGAGAGGGGAAGAAGACCGTTGGGCGCAGTGATTCTGGTGGGAAAAGGACAGGCGGGGCAGTTCTCTAGGTGCGGGTTGCGGAGGGGGGGTGCTTATCCGCAACCAGCTGTGTGAGAGCGCACGCGGAAATGCAGACATCTCTTCCGCTGTCTCAGAGAGCTCCGCGCACGGAGGTGCGCGGCGGGTAGATACTGTAGGGGTACGGACGAAAGGGGAGTTTCGGGGGGGTTGTTGGGAAAGGGGGGAAGAAGGGCGGAGCGAGTCAAGTTTACTGATGATTGGTCCTCGTTTCCGATTGGATTGGGTTGTTGTTGAGATTGACGACAACGCGGGTTTGACTGTATCGGAGCGGGCGATAAACGACAGCGACGCTCTCCACAGCGGAAACTGTTCGTGGAGGACCAGCTGAACCGAGTCGTGTCAACATCACAACATCAAAACCATGCTACCCGCTCCGATCCTCGTTATAAAAGTCACCTCGACCAAACAATAATACTTTCACCTAGCAAAGAGCAAGCATATTTCCACACATTTATAAAGGACTGATGTAGGTAGGAAAGCACAACGCCGCAATGACATTTCATCAATTACCACAACTCCACATTACTATACATCCCACACAAGGAAGCAAAAATAAACCTACACTATCTCTACAGTTTTGGTCGGCACATGTGGCTCGTCTTTCTCAAAGCTCGCACAACAAAAGCCGACTTGGTCCAACACGAAGTCAAAGACATAGACAGCACAGAACAGCCCAATCAGAATGGAGAAGGCAATGTAGGACCACTGTCAAGGAGAAAGGGGAAGGGATGAAATCGGAGAGGGAGGGAATGAGAAGGAAAGCATGACTTACAGCCAGGCTGTGAAACAAAAATGAGTGGAATGAAGATGGTTGCAGGTTCACCTCAGAAGTATGAAGGGAAGAAAGAAAAACTCACATCAAGGTCGTATCCAAACTTGGAGGTGGCAAGATCGAACCCCAGGTACGTGTTTGCCCACGCAATCGCCACCGTGCCGACCCCAATCACCCAGTGCAGCACAAACCAGGATGGACGGCCAGGATGCTTCTTGAGCGGCCTCAGATGCCCCACGATTGGCTGCACGACAATCAGCACCATGACGGCCAATCCGAGCTGTCCATGTGTCGACTGCAATGATTGCGACCCCTTTTCCACGAAGGCCATGATGATTCCGGCGAGTGCGAGCAGCACAGCGGACAGCATGAGCCACTTGTGCACCTCAAACGCCATTGGCTTGCTCAGCCATGGCTTCTTGGAAACTGCTCCCCCTGTTGCTGCTGCACCTCGTGCTCTGCCTGACCCTGCTGCCCCTGCTGCTGCTGCTGCTGGTGGTCCACCGACGGAGAGAGCAACAAGAGCCGGTGCATCCTCTGCCACCAAACTGCTGGGGAGACTGCCTTTAAGGGGACTGCCTCCCCCCTCTGCCGCTGCTGCTCCACTGTGCTTCTCGCCAAGCATCGGCTCCCCCAACCCACCTGCCGCTGCTGTGGCTGCCCCTGCAGCGGTGCTGTTGCTTGCACCGGGGTTACTTGCTGCGCCAGGGGCAGTAGAGTGCACAGGCATGGGCTTATCCGCTAGGAAGAGCCTCGATATAAGGATGGCAGAGGGCATGAGCATGCCGAAGGCCACTGTGAGCAGCCATGCATGCACGGTGTAGAGCGTGGCGCTCTCAGTGCTCCCCTCGCCCACCTCTGATGCCCCTGTCGCAAAGTTGATTGTAGCAGAGCCTCTGATAACGGGGATAAGAAGGGAAGGGGGCAGAGATGGGAGGGAGGGGAGGGAAAGGAGACATGAGAAGCGAATCGGGTAAGGTGAAAGGGAGCCAGAGGAATGCGGCATGGGAATGTGCCACGACACGGTGTTTCGAGGCGGCCAACGTATCACCAGGGAGTTGACGCATGGTGGCACGAGACGAGACTCACGCATTGGGCCCGTGGTCGGCTAGTTGCTGCGAGTTATCCCGCGCGTACGCCCACAGAACTCGGCTCGAAGACACTGGGAAATCCCCATCATTCATCGACCGCTCAAACTTGATCACCGTCCGCCCGTTCCCCGCCTCCACAGCCGCGTCGGTAACCGCAAACGAGCTCGTAACCGCGACGTCACTGGCGCCGTAACCAGTCATTGAATACGCCCCCACGGCTGCTGCAGCACCAGTAGAGAGCGTGCCAGCGGGGAGGTTCCCGATGGCAGCTTCAGCGGGGTACATGCGGCCGGAGGGGGACCAGCCCACGGAGACCCACCCACTCGTTGCTGCCTCTGCTGCCAATGCTATGGTGTTGGTGCTGTTGGTCGTCCAGTGCAGGATGAAGCTGCGGGGATGGGGAGACGGGAAGAGAGGGAAATATGGGGGAAGGATGCCGACGGCGGCCTCAGCGGGGGACATGCGGCCGGTGGCGGACCAGCCGAGAGAGACCCACCCGCTCGTTGCTGCCTCGGCTGCCAGTGCGATGGTGTTGGTGTTGCTGGTCGTCCAGTGCAGGATGAAGCTGGGGGGATGGGAGAAGGGAGGATGGGGGAGCATGCGTGATTGAGTACGCCCGTAGGCAGTTGCAATGGGGAGGGTTCCGCTGGAGAGGGTTTTCCAATGAAGGATGAAGCTGTGGGAATGGGGAGGACGGAAGAGAGGGCAACACGATAAAAGAAGTATTTTGAGACGTCTCAAGTCACTTGTTTTATCGCTGGGGAGGGTTTTCCAGTAAAGGATGAAGCTGTGGGAATGGGGAGGAGGGAAGGGAGGGAACGAAGATGCATGGAGAGGTGGGGCCTGCTTGATTGTTCCTTCCAGAGAAGAGAACACACTCCTCGCCCCAGAGTACTCACCCACTTGCCCCACAAGTTAAGTTTTGAGGCTCTGGGGCAGAGTAATCACCCATCTGCCTCAAAACTTGATTGTTCTTCCAGAGAGCGCACTCAGAGTCATCGCCCCAGAGTACTCACCCGTTTGCCCCACATGTTCCTTGTGTAGAAGTGTATTTCTGAGACGTCTCAAAACATTACTTCAAACACGTGGCTTGCCTTCCAGAGAACGCACTCGTCGCCCCAGAGTACTCACCCATTTGCCCCACAAGTTCCTTGACCACTCACTTGTCGCCACTGAGCTGCACCATGCACTCATATCCCGCCAGGGACGACGCCGTGCACGCACTGCTGCTTCAATAGACCGCTCAACAATCGACCACTCACTCACTCAGTCACTCACCCTACTGACCCACACGGCCCTGAGCAGTGACCACTCACTTGTTGCCGCTGAGCTGCACCATGCACTCATATCCCGCCAGGGACGACGCCTTGCAAGCACTGCTGCTTGTGAGACAACTCATCCGTTGACCACTCACGAACTCACTCTCTCATCTGCCCCACACCACATGGCTTTGGGAACTCACTTGTCGCCACTGAGCTGCACCATGCACTCATATCCCGCCAGGGACGACGCCGTGCAGGCACTGCTGCTGCTGCTGCCGCTGCTGGATGCTGCTGCTGACGTGGCACCCAGCGACTGGCTATCACCGCCCTGAGTTGATGCAGAGGTGTTGTTGCCGGTGGCAGCAGTGGAGCAAGTGAAATCCACCTGGACCGATCCACTGATGCACATGTGACAATAACGGGGGTGACAACAACGGGGTTGACAAATAACACAAAGATTAGATACCGAGGGGAGTGAGTTGGAAGGGCGAATGAGAACTGCAGAGGAAGGTTGTTGAGTTGGAACGGGCCGTTCGCAGAAATCGGCTGTGTGGTAACCAGCAGATGCGGAAGATTGTGGCAATGGTAACCAGCAGGTGTGTAACAAACAATGTGGTAACCAGCAAATGAACTCACTCGTTGCGGTTGTGAAAGTCCAGTGCTTGCGAGCCAGACCCAGAAAACGCCCACACGAGGGTATTTACCCCGGAAAAATCCACCGGGACTACTCCCCCATCCCCTTCCGTCCGGGTAAACTTCACAACAGTAGCTCCGTTACTAGCCGCCTCAGTACTCGCTTCAGTGACCGAAAATCTGCTGGTAACCGTAACATCGGACATCTGGTAACCAGTCATGGCGTACGCAGCAACCTCGCTTCCTGGAAGGTTCCCGATGACAGCGTCAGCGGGGGCCATCCGGCCGTTCGTTGACCAGCCGATGGAGATCCAACCGCTCTCAGCGCCGCTGCCCTGCTGTGCTTCTAACGCCAGGCGTAGCTGAGCCTTCCCCCCGGTACTGTCACTGCTGCTGCTGGCACTGCTGGTGCTGCTGGCGGTGCTGGTTGTAGGGGTGCTGGTGCTGCTGCTGTTGGTCGTGGTGGTGCCATTAACGAGCGTCCAGTGGAGGAGGAGTCCGTTCGTTAGAGTCACAGAGTGCTCGTATCCCGCAAGGGACGAAGCCTGGCAAGCTGATGCTGCACCAGACCCACCTCCCCTTCCTGTTCCTCCTCCCCCTCCCTCACCTCCTTCGTCTCCCGCCCCTCCCTCCCCTCTATCCCCTCTATCCCCTCCATCTCCCCCCTCACCCTCCCGCTCCCCCTCTCCGCTTCCCCACTGCTCCCACTCCTCTCCGTCTCCCCACTCCCCCCCCTCCTGCTCACCATCATTCCCATGCTCATGCTCATCGCCCTGCTCGTTCCCATGCTCATGGCCTCCCTCGTCGTGGGGAGGGCCACTCACGGATCCGTTAGAGTCAGGTGGGAAGGGCAGCGATTCGTTATAAGCAGGCGGGGTGGAAGGAGGAGCAGGAGTCGTGCTGTTGGTGGTGCTGCCACTGCCGGTGCCATTCGAGCTGCTGCCCGTTCCGCTGCCCGTTCCGCTGCCCGTCGTGGAGTTAATACTGCCGCTGGTGCCACCTGAACCACTTCCTGTTGTTGTGTTGCCCCCTGTGCTCCCCCCAGCGTTGCTTCCCGCTGTGGAGTTGCCAGCAGCAGCGGCGGCGGCTCCAACGCAGGAGAAGTCCACCGAAGTGGCGCCGCTGTTGAAGTGAGAGAGAGAGAAAGAGAGAGAGAGAGAGGGCATGTCTGTACACCTTGACTATCAATGAAAGGGCCATTAGAGAGAGAAATGGGCGATAAGAGCGAGAGGAAAGAGAGAGGAAGGACATGAATAAAGACAAGGACGAGGCCATGTGAGTATTAACACGATGGGGAAAAAAAGGAGCAAAGAAATCATTGAAACAAAACAAATTGAATCGGATGCCGCACTCACTCGTTCCAGCCGTGGAAGCCGAGAGCGGTGGATCCGGACTGCGAGTAGGCCCAGATGACCGGGTTCACCCCGACTGGGAGACAAACGGTGTCTACTAATTTCTCACAGCGAATAAAAGTCTATTAGCATAAGAATGAGGAAGGATACGAGAAACGCACTCGTTGCGACCGTGGAAGCCGAGAGCGGTGGAGCCGGACTGCGAGTAGGCCCAGATGACAGTGTTCACGCCCGCCACGTTAACTGGTACGGCGCCGCCGTCACCGCTCACGCGAGAGAATCTGCGGTGGTGACGGGCGGAGATAGACCGGATAGAAGAATCATCGTATCAATTGCTCACGAAATGCGTCCGAATAATTAATATACGAAATGCGCGGAAATGATGAGAGATGAAAGACTATGAATCAGATGTATGCCGTAACTCGTTCACGCCAACTGGTCGTTACCTAACTCTGGAAACGAGGCTAAAAAAGACGCCCAAATCACATGGTGGGTTAATGCGATTTCGTTATAGCGAAAACTGGCAGTTACTGTACATGATACAGTAAAAAGCAATGAAATAAGATTATCGGAGTGTAACCGAGAACAAAACATCGCAAACTCAACTACCTCAGTCTGAGCATAAACCTGTACATCAATTTACGGCAGCGCGAATCACTCACTTCATGATAGTCCCGCCGTTGGACGTCAGCATCTCGGCAGAACTGAGGGCGAAGCTGCTGGTCGGCGCCACGTCAGCATCGCCGTACCCGCTCATGTAATACGCGCCCATGCTTCCGCCGGGCATGTTCCCGATGACGCAGTCCGCGGGGTACATGCGCCCATCCGCGGACCACCCGGCGGAAATCCACCCGCTCTCCGCGCCGCTTCCCGCCTTGGCTTCGAGCGCCATCTGCAGCGCCGTCTGCGCGCCGCTGTCCAGCGCAGCCCAGTGAAGCACGAGACTGCGAGCCGCGATCCAGGAGTAACGGAACAGCACATGATGAAAAAATGTTGTTTTAATTGTAGAAGCGATGGCATTGTTTTAATGCCGATCATAGAGATTATGTACTATATACGGTAATGATATGGCTGGACAAAAAATGCGCGAACGGCAGTGGGTTTTCTGCTCGGAAAAGAGGGGATGCATGGGGAAAGTACTATGGCGAAGGATTTCTGGTTTTGCGGAGGCTTTCGCCACCTACCCGTTACCCGAGAGGTCGACGGAGCTGGTGAATCCCGTGAGCGAGGAGCTCTGGCACGCCGCCGCCCATGCCGCGCCACTACTAAATGACAGCACAAACATGACGACGAGGAAATGGACACGGCTGAGATCTAGGAGTCGCCGCATCGTTGTAGCAGAGACTAAATAACGGCTTTAGTAGCTCCAACTGATAACAAAACTCGGACGTCTCTGTGAGCCTCAGTTCGACAAGATTAGTGCAATTCAGGGGAGATAATCGCAAGAACCAATTCTGGGTGCTGGAAAAGATGGTGATGGTGCACTATGTAGGAGGCTGACTCGTGGAATCGCGTTCACATAAGGTTTGAGGGAGGTGGATTTGGGTGAACGAAATGGATGGAATCGTGGGATGGGATGAAATTGTTGGATTGGTTTGTCCATTTTATATTTGCGCGGCTCGGTGAATGGAGGAATTGACTGGGCTTCGAGGAGAATTTCTTTCGGTGTTCTTCGTTCCAGGCTGGCGTGGCTGGCGCGTGCCCGTACAATCGATGCTGCGGTGTATATCGGTCTCGCAGAGCGAAATGGCTTGGGTTCTTCGGGATAGCGTGGACAAACGGACAATGATCTTGGACGAGTCACCGCCCGTCGAACTCTCTCTACCGTGCGGTAACCCTCTCCAACGAAGCAATTCGCGGCATGTCTCCGACCATCTGGGAAATGCTGTGGCGGAGACCAGTCAAATCATAAGGCGCTGACCATTCCGTTGTGAACATGTGAGCTTGTGCTAATGTATCTGTAGAGATATTGGTGAGTGCTACATGTATTTGAGGTATGGTATTAACATACAGTGAGTTCCCGTTAGCGAACCACAAGAGTTCTGCCTCTCCACCATTTATTCACAAGTGTATAGCTTGTTCCGAGTGTACTATGTTCCATTATGCGAACATATCTCCGCCCAGCACTCCCGGCCAACGTACAAGGCTCTGCCACGTTCCCTATTACGAATCATCGCTTGGTCCGCACAAAAATTATCGCGAAGCTCGTGCTGAACCTACGCAGACCAACTTCGTCACACACAAAACGCCTCGCTATTGGTTGAGACCGATTCGACCCTGACCATTTCAGCTTCGGATCAGAACCACAGACTGAACACGTTTTCCCCAAACCGAGACTGCGGTCGAGCCGCATGCGCTTCAGACCTGAAAACCAATGGGAGTGAACCACGAGAGTGACGAGACGACCTAGAGGATGAGATCGGAGGGCGTCGGTGACTCGGTGTTTTTGGCCGACATCGGGTTCCCTTCCCACACAAGCTGGTTGGCAAACCAGCTTCTGGTCTAGACTCTAGAGATGATCAAATCTATGCCTCAATTACTTCTCGTGTTTTTCCACAGTGACAGAAGAACGTAGTCGATCGTGAAAATCACTCGCCTCGGGTTCCATACCATAAGGTATCATTTCCACTCGCGTACGATCGCGGCGTAACAACTTGTCCCTTGACGACTGCGCGAGTCGATCAGCGGCTTATACTAGGAATTTTGCCACCGTGCCTTTTTGTCAGGCACTCTCGTCTCTTCATGGCGTCGCCTCGGTATTGTCCAGCTAGCGCGGGACCTTACTCGTTAGTCCCAGCCCTTGTGCTGCTCCTGACGTATAGTTTCGCGTCGCCGCACCTGCCACGAGTAGCGGCTTTCTCCCTCCGAGTAGCGTTTCCATTCCTCTCTCGCACGCACGACGACAAGGATCGATCCGTGACGACGGCGATCGCGCGACGAAAGCTCGCGTCGTCGCTGCCGTGCACGAACTCGTCGCTCTTCGGCTACGCTTACGCCGTGCAACTCGGCGACGGGTACGCGCGCGCCGCGTCGTTGTGTCGCTCCACCGTTTTCCGCCGTTCTGCTGCCCATCACGTGTCAATTCCTTCACCCCTCCCCCCTCCCGCCCTCTACCCTTGCTTTTCCCCCCTTCCTTTTCGTCCCCCACCCCCCGGTTCCCCTTCTCCCCAGTCTCATTCTGCATTGGAAGCCGCAGGTCGGCCGGTTGACGGACATAGCGTCCTCCCCTCTTCTCGGTGCTCTCTTACCCACTTCCCTCCCCCACCCCCCCCACCCGCTTCCCCAGTCTCATCCTGCATTGGAAGCCGCAGGTCGGCCGGTTGATGGACATGGCGTCCTCCCCTCTTCTATGTGCTCTCTTACCCACTTCCCTCCCCCGCCCCCCCAAACCCCCTTCCCGCAGTCTCATCCTGCACTGGAAGCCGCAGGTCAGCAGGGTGACGGAGATGGCGCTACAGGCCGTCGCGCTCTCGGGCGCGCAGAAGGGGTGGATCTCCGTCGGGTGGTCGGGCGACGGCCGCATGTCGCGCAGCGACGCGGTGGTGGGGAATGTCGTTAATTACCCCAGCAATGTCGTGGCGCTGTACCTGGCGGGGGCGAAACTTCGCGGATGTGAAGCCGGCGGGGTATGACCTGGGCAGGACGGTTCTGGAGCAGGGCACTACTGGCTCGTTCGTCATCAAGTGAGTCCCTCTGAGTCATCAAGTGAGTGTCACGTGGTGGCTAGATGTGCAGGGTAAGGGCGCAAGGGGTGCAAGGGGGACCCGGTGGTGGGGGACGTGGCGGGGTATGACCTGGGCAGGACGGTCCTGGAGCAGGGCACTACCGGCTCGTTCGTCATCAAGTGAGTGTCTCTGAGGGTAACGGAGGGGTGGGGCAAGGGGGACGCGGCGGTGGGGAACGTGGCTGGGTACGATCTGGGCAGGATGGTCCTGGAGCAGGGCTCTACTGGCTCGTTCGTCATCAAGTGAGTTCCTCTGAGTGCTCGAATCTCTGTGAGTCATCAAGTGAGTGTCAAGGAGTGCTCAACACGATCTGGGCAGGACGGTTCTGGAGCAGGGCACCACCGGCTCGTTCGTCATCGAGTGAGTTTCGCAGGTAGTGGTCAGAAAAAAAAGGGAATGGAGCCATTGCTACGGACGGGAATGGCGTGGTCACGACTTTTGAGGCGCCGCAGAGGCGGTCCTGGAGCAGGGCTCTATGGGCTCGTTCGTCATCAAGTGAGTGCTTCTGAGTGTTCGAATCTCTCTAGTTTTGAGGCGCCTCAAAACTAGACGCCGCAGAGGCGGTCCTGGAGCAAGGCTCTACGGGCTACGTTCGTGATGAAGTGAGTGCTTCTGAGTGTTCGAATCTCTCTGAGTGCTCCGATGAGCCAAGTGAGTTGTCACGTGGTGGTCCGATGAGCCATTGCTGCGACAGGCGCCGCACAGGCGGTTCTGGAGCAGGGCACTACCGGCTAGTTCGTGATCAAATGAGTGTCTCTGAGGGATTTAGTGAGTGTCAAGTAGTTGTCAGATGAGTTGGGTAGCAAAGTGGGGAAGGGGGGAGTGGGGGTAGGAGGGGGGGGGGGGGGGGGGGGAGGGGGGGGAATTGGTGGGGGATGATGACACGGTGCGATTCGACCCCACAGGCGCTAATCAGCCAATCAACCAATCAGCCAACCAACCAACCAGCATTCTCAACCCTTTCCCCTCCCCTTCCCCCTGCACTGCTGCAGGTTCTCCCGGCGGGTGGACGATGGCACGGTGCGATTCGACCCCACAGGCGCCATCAGCTCACATCCCGTTCCCCCATTATCCCTCCCTTTCCTCCCCTGCGCTACTGAAGGTTCTCCCGGCGGGTGGAAGATGGCACGGTGCGACTCGACCCAGCAGGCGCCATCAGCTCACATCCCGTTTCCCCATTATCCCTCCCTTTCCTCCCCTGCGCTACTGAAGGTTCTCCCGGCGGGTGGACGATGGCACGGTGCGATTCGACCCAGCAGGCGCCATCAGCTCACATCCCGTTTCCCCATTATCCCTCCCTTTCCTCCCCTGCGCTACTGAAGGTTCTCCCGGCGGGTGGACGATGGCACGGTGCGATTCGACCCAGCAGGCGCCATCAGCTCACATCCCGTTTCCCCATTATCCCTCCCTTTCCTCCCCTGCGCTACTGAACGTTCTCCCGGCGGGTGGACGATGGCACGGTGCGATTCGACCCAGCAGGCGCCAACACGCTCATCTGGGCCTACTCCGCCGATCCTGGCTCGACAGAGCTCGGCTTCCACGGGGGAAACAAGTATGTGCTGTGCTGTGTGGTATGGTGCGGTGATGTGCAGTGATGTGCTGTGCGGTGATGTGCTGTGTTGTGCTGTGGTGACTGTGTGGTGCCAACACGCTCATCTGGGCCTACTCCGCCCCCCCTAGGTCTATAGAGCTCAGCTTCCATGCTGGAAACAATTCTGTGCCAGGCCTATCCATGTAGAAATCCAATTCGTATTGGCACATATATTACTGTCGCATTCACATGCAGGGAACCTGTGCTTGTTAACCTCTCGTGCACTGGCAAGACAGCAAGCATGTGAATGTACAGGAATTCATACCAAGATTTGATTCTTACCACTTCACTTGATGCTCAATGAAAATGTGGGTGAAAGTGCCTCTGGGGACGCCTGTGGGGTTGGGCACATAAAAGGAGGAAGAGAAAGTGACAGGGATGAGGCCCTGGCATGCGATAGGGATGATGCCCTCTGGCTCGATGGCATGGCCTGCTTCGTCTATGAAAATGTGCGTGAAGGTGCCACGGGGGACACCTGTGGGTGAAGTACAAGGAAGGAGGAAGAGAGAGAAATGGGGTTGATAATGTTGGCATGAGATGAAATGGCCTCTGGCTCGATGGCATGGCCTGCCTCGTCAATGAGAATGTGTGTGAAGGTGCCTCTGGGGACACCTGGGGAGAGAAGGGGGAAAGATGTAAAAGATGAAGTATGAGAGCACCCCTCACAACTCACACCTTGGCATGGCCTGTCTCGTCTATAAAGATGTGCGTGAAGGTGCCTCGGGGGACGCCTGGTGAATGATGTGGGAAGGGGAAGGATGCGGGGTGTAACAAATGAGAGTGGAAGGGCATTTGATTTGAAGACCTGTCACAGCTCGAGCTCAATAGCATGGCCTGTCTCGTCTATAAAGATGTGCGTGAAGGTGCCTCGGGGGACGCCTGGCGAAGGGAGGGAGTGGAGGAGGGGCGGATGAAGAAGGGTAACAGCAGATAAAAGATGGGGGCAGCATGCAATGGGGACGATGAGAAAGATGTGCGTGAAAGTGCCTCGGGGGACGCCTGGTGAAGGGAGGGAGTGGAGGAGGGGCAGACGAGTGATGGGAGCGATTCTATGGCATGAGATGGCATGGCCTCTGAGGCGATGGCATGGAAGATTTGGAAGAGAGAGAGGGAGAAGGCAGAGGAGAACAGCAAGTCACAACTACGTTTGAACCCAGATAGCCCAGTAAGAAGCATACCCATGCGGTAGAGCAGAGCAGCGGAGCAGCACGTGACAGCCACGACCCGAGCGGTGTGGATTTCGGAGAGAGAAGGCAGGCGGAAGGTTCCCGTGGCGTCGTCGTAGCGAGTGAATGGCAGCAGGTCCGTTTCTACCTCGCCCCGCCCGCGACTCACAGAGTAGAGGCGTAGCATCTCACGCACCTGGTGTGGGGGGGAAGGGGGATGCAACATGGGGGTGGGTTGAGGAGTGGGAGCGAGTGAATGGCAGCAGGCCGGTGTCTACCTCGCCCCGCCCACGGCTCACAGAGTAAAGACGGAGCATCTCGGGCACCTGGAGAGAGGGGGGGGAGCAGGGGGGGATTCAACAGGGTAACGGGTTAGGGCATCGTCGTAGCGAGTGAATGGCAGCAGGTCGTTTTCCACCTCGCCTCGCCCCCGGCTCACAGAGTACAAGCGTAGCATCTCACGCACCTGTACAGGAGGGATGGGGGACGTAGGCACAGGGGGGATGCAACATGGGGGTGGGTTGGGGAGTCGTGGTAGCGAGTGAATGGCAGAAGGTCCGCTTCCACTTCGCCCCGCGCACAGCTCACAGAGTAGAGGTGGAGCATCTCACGCACCTGGAGAGTGGGGGAGGGGAAGAACAGGGAGGGTCGGGTGGGGCAAATCAGTGTGGGTTGGGTAGTGGTGGGGTGTGGCATCGTCGTAGCGAGTGAATGGCAGCAGGTCCGTTTCCACCTCGCCCCTGCTGCGACTCACAGAATACAGGCGCAGCATCTCGCGCACCTGCAGGGACGGAATCAGGGGGTTAAATTAACGAGGACACTGGGTATTGGAGAGTGGGGGGTGAGGGTAGTTTAACAGGGGAGTGGTGGGTGGGGAGTGGGAGCGAGTGAATGGCAGAAGGTCCGAGCCCACCTCGCCCCTGGTGCGACTGACAGAGTAGAGGCGCAGCATCTCACGCACCTGGAGAGAGGGAAGAGACAAGATACAAACAAACAACACAAAGGTTGGGTTGCAAAGTGGTTGTAGCGAGTGAATGGCAGCAAGTCCGTGTCCACCTCGCCCCTGCTGCGACTCACAGAGTAGAGGCGCAGCATCTCACACACCTGGAGAGACGGGATGGAGGGGTATGATTCACGAGGACAGTGGGAATAGGAGTGACGGTGAGTGAATTGGAGCACGTCCTGTCCACCTTGCCCCTGCCACGGCTCACAGTGTAAAGACACAGTGTCTCGCACATCACCTCACAGAACCTGACAGGACCTCACAGCACCTCACGGCACCTCACACCACCTCACGGCACCTCACCTGCAGATTGCCTCTGAGACGGAGGGCTATGTTGTCAGTGGCGCTGTTGGATGGCGCACACACGAGCACACGTGCAGAGGGCATCCCCTTCACCACCTGCGGTACAACGAGCACACACGAGCACATACGAGCACACCCCAGCACACACAAGCACACCCCGGCACACAAAGCCACACATGTGCACGTGCACACACAAGCACACACAAGCACACACAAGCACACACATGCACACATGTGGCCACATAATTTAACAAGGTAAGCACGGACACACGAGGACACGTGGTGAGGGCATGCCCCGCACCTACCCGCACCACCTGTTGGATTGGGGGAACATGTCGGGTTCACAGGGTACAATAAACAGTTCTAAGCACCATCAGACTCAAAATGAGTCGTGTTTTGAGTTGACGCATAACACCACCTGTTGGATTGGGGGAACATGTCGGGTTCACAGGGTACAATCAACAGTGCTAAGCACCATCAGACTCAAACGACACGAGCACACACGAGCACGCACATACACACACGAGCACACACGTGGACACACAAGCACACAAGTGTGTCTGGCCGCCCGAACGGAATTAAAAGTGGGCATGACAAATGAGTCGAGTCTACGGAGACTGACTTGAAACAAGCCTATGAGTGTGAGATAACTTCCAAGAAAAAAACCCACCTGCAAAATGGCTTCCACAACCGTCTTGGTCTTGCCGGTGCCAGAGGGACAAACACAATGCAGGGCGAATCGTGCGACAACCCAAAGCTCACTCAGTTGTGCGGATTACTTTCGAACCAGCACCCCACCCACCTGTAAGGTGGCCTCTACAACCGTCTTGGTCTTGCCGGTGCAAGGCGGCCCAATGTAGGGGGGAAGGTACGGCTCTGGCCGCGCGCTGAGCTGCAGGCGTGAGCAAGCTGCCATTGACTTTAGATAGACTATATCTCACCCACCTGCAAGATAGCTTCAACCACTGTCTTGGTCTTGCCGGTGCCAGGAGGCCCGAACACAATGTAGGGCGGGAGGTACGGCTCGGGCCGTGCGCTGAGCTGCAGGCGTGAGCGCACCAGCAGCTGTGATAGTCAATTTCAAGCTTATATCCCACACACCTGTAGGATAGCTTCAACGACTGTCTTCGTCTTGCCGGTGCCAGGCGGGCCGAACACAATGTAGGGCGGGAGGTAGGGCTCGGGCCGTGCGCTGAGCTGCAGGCGAGAGCGCACCAGCAGCTGTGCCACTGCTTCTCGTTGCTCCACGTTCAGTTGGCGATCAAAGGGGCGGATGGCGGGGATTTCTGGTGCGGGGAAGGGAGTGTGAGAGCACGGTGGGGGTGTGGGGGGGGAGGAGCAAGTAGGGGGGACAGGGTTGTTGCGGTGAGCGCACCAGCAGCTGAGCCACTACCCCCCGCTGCTCCACGCTCAGCTGGCGGTCACAGGGGCGGATGGCGGGGATTTCTGGTGTGGAGAGAGGGAGTTCAAAGGGGGTCACTACCCCTGCTGCTCCACGTTCAGCTGGCGGTCAGAGGGGCAGATGCGGGGATTTCTGGTGGGTCTCCAACCCACAACCCACCCACCTACCCCACCCAACCCCCCACCAACCCCAACAACCCACACCCACCGATGCTGAAGAGCCTTTGGGGCATTTCCGATGGCATGAGCACGTGCTGCCCCATCACCCGCTAATGCCCTCATCTGCCCCACCAACCAACCCACCCATCCACCCACCAACCCACAACCCACAACCCACTCACCAATGCTGAAGAGCCTCTGAGGAATCTCCGACGGCATGAGCACGTGCTGCCCCAGGTGCCGGTTCGCAAGCCCCAGCGCCAGGTGGCACGCTCTGACTGGTCCGCGGGGCACCTCGAAGCGCACGTTGAAGAGCTGGCCGGGGATGAAGCGCCGTTGGAAGTCGGGGTGGGAGCGCAGCATGGCGCTCTCCCTCTCCACCCTGTGCACGAAGCCCTGGGGGCGGGGACGAGAGGGTGGGGGACCGGATTGGAGTGCATGTGGGTGAGTGGTGACGAGTGGAAGTCGGGGTGGGAGCGCAGCATGGCGCTCTCCCTCTCCACCCTGTGCACGAAGCCCTGGGGGCGGGGACGAGAGGGTGGGGGACCGGATTGGAGTGCATGTGGGTGAGTGGTGACGAGTGGAAGTCGGGGTGGGAGCGCAGCATGGCGCTCTCCCTCTCCACCCTGTGCACGAAGCCCTGGGGGCGGGGACGAGAGGGTGGGGGACCGGATTGGAGTGCATGTGGGTGAGTGGTGACGAGTGGAAGTCGGGGTGGGAGCGCAGCATGGCGCTCTCCCTCTCCACCCTGTGCACGAAGCCCTGGGGGAGGGGACGAGAGGGTGGGGGACCGGATTGGAGTGCATGTGGGTGAGTGGTGACGAGTGGAAGTCGGGGTGGGAGCGCAGCATGGCGCTCTCCCTCTCCACCCGGTGCACGAAGCCCTGGGAGAAAGCGGATTGAGAGAGATAGTAGTGTAGGCAAGTTAGTTGAAAGGTGGATGGTGGAAGTCGGTCTGGATGGAAGTCGGAGCGGGAGCGCAGCATGGCGCTCTCCCTCTCCACCCTGTGCACGAAGCGCAGCAGAGCTCCGGGTGGAGCTCGAGGTGGAATTTTTTAGACGTCTCAAAAAATCACTTTATACACGGAGCTTGGGGTGGAGCTTGGGGTGGAGCTTGGGGTGGAGCTTGGGGTGGAGCTTGGGGTGGAGCTTGGGGTGGAGCTCGGGGTGGAGCTCGGGGTGGAGCTCGGGGTGGGGTGGAGCTCGGGGTGGAAGCGCAGCAAAGCTCTGCCTCCCTCGCCCCCCCTCACCTGATACTCCATGCGCCTCCCTCTCCCTGCTTCCCCCAACCGCCAAACAGCACGAACGGGCATTTCTACACCAGTCAGCCAGAATAGCAAGGTTTCCGTTTCCCACCCCCTACCTTCCAGCAACCCACAACACATCAGAAACTCAACATGCGCATGTTCCCTCCCACTACTCCCCCTCCCCGCACTGAAGCAGAAGCGAGATACACACCTGATACTCAATCCGCCTCCGTCCTGCTCCCGCCTCGTTCGCAAACGTCAGATACACCCGATCGCCAAACAGCACAGACGGGCGTTTCTCCGCCAGCCCTGCAGCCAGCCCCGGCACCGTCAGCTGGTAATAGCAAGCTTCCCTTTCTTCCCCTTCACCTTGCAGCAACCCACAGCACACCTGATTACTACTACTCGAAGCAACTCACTCACCTGGTACTCAATCCGCCTCCGCCCTGCTCCCTCCTCATTCGCAAAGGTCAGATACACCCGATCGCCAAACAGAACAGACGGGCGTTTCTCAGCCAGCCCAGGCACCGTCAGCTGGTAAAACTCCCTAGAAGGCAGCACAGTGACTCCCCGCATGTCATAGTAACGAATGTCAGCCTCCATTTGAAGCTCTTCCACGTGTAACAGCAGCTCAAACCGCTTCTTGTACGTGTCTAGAGTCACCGGGCCCTCAAACCCCGGTAGCTGCATCTCACCGTGATGCATCCCCTCATACGTCTCCCGAACCCATTCTGGAATTCCAAACCACGGGATTTTGGCTAGCTGCTCGCCGGTGCGTTTCCACCCCTCGGCTCCTCCTCCTGCCGCGATTTCCGCTGCTGTGGCTCGAACGGAGCCGTGTGAGCCATTGATTTCGTCACCTGGTCCTCCACCAGGACGTTCAGATACCGTCCGATCAGGAAGTTCTTGAAATTGAACACCAGGATGGCTTTAAGAACGCCGACGGACGAGGGTTTGATCCTCAGGGTGAGCGTGTACACTTCATTCGGGCGAACGAAGAACCCATTTCTCGGAACTGCTTCGCCTGAACCGATGGAGTAGCCAGAGAAGCCGAATTTGAGGTCTGGGTTTTCACCTGCGAGCTTGCAGGACGTCAGCAGCTGCGCCTCACAGTGTCGATTTGTGATAGTAACGAGGCCTTCTAAAGTGGATCCTAAATCCATTTTAACTAGCTGGGTCTGTGCACTTCCTGCTGCTACTGCTGCTGCTGCTGATGATGATGCTGCTGCAGGTTGCTGGAGTGACGCAAACGGGTAGCTTATATCGATGCCATATTTCCCCCGCTGGACGTAGTCACGCTGATCGCGAAGCTTCCTGGCAGCTGCGCGCGCCTTGTGAGTCGTATCCGACGCGCAGTGCGCCTCCAGCTGATGAAAAAAGTCGAATAAAATCTCACACGTCGAACAGTGAAATTTCCCTCCCGCCTTGCTCCTCTGCAATACGGCGTAGTGTCGCCTTCCCTTCAGGTGATTCTGCAGCTGCCAGGGGTTTGGGCAGGTGACATCACAGATCCCGCAGCGCCGATCCTGGCTCTCAGGTGCTTTCGCAAGTAGAGGCACAGCGTTTCGCGCTCTGACCGGAGCGCCTGACCTCTCCCGCCACGTCACCGAGCTTTGCTGGAAGATCGCCATAGAGTGCATCGATAAAAGGAAAAACACCAGCTGATTCGGAAAAACGACAGATCTGCCAGGCGACTGACAGAACTGCTGGTGGGCCGTGCCTAGCTCGGCGCGGGTTCGCGGCCAGAGGTTACGGCTCGCGAGGTACTGACAAAACTCGCGAAGGTAGGCGGAGACGGAGACGGAATCCCGCGACGCCATGGATGCTGCTGGTCGCCGAGCGCGAAATCCGGAGAACGGTATAAAAGGAGAGCTTGCACTCCTTGGATGTAGCAGTACTTGATTTGTGACTATATCTCAAGCAATGAACGAGAGAGAGAGAGAGATCTAAAACATTAGCGAGAGCGACGGCAGGAGCGAGATCTGAGAAAAGAGTGGGAAACGGAAGTTCGAACTGGGCCTGAACGAAAAACGGGTGACGGGGTTGCCAGATAAGACAGAGAACTGAAAGATCAGCCACCGTTCTCCCTCTCTCACAACGGCTTGCATGCTGCCGATCTTTCTCGAAAAAGGCACTCAAATCACAAACCGCAGAAACATTTCCAATCACCACCAAATGCTCGTGAGACTGGGGCAAGCTTGATCTCTAGTGACCAATAGACAGACGGTGTGGGAGAAAGAGAGGGCCACAGGGGTCAGCTTCAAAGTGCAGCGAGCGAGCAGGGGAGCTATAGATTAGAAACCTAGATAACAGTAGCCCCTTCATTTATATTCTCTGATTAGACGGAAATGTTCCCACTTTTCCTTGGGGATGGATTTGGCGGGACGGCGGGCGGGTGTAGCGATGATGAAGCGTCAACCTCAAGGCGCAGGATGGCTCCTTTACGAAAGGTCTCGTTAACACGACCTGAAAAACATGTACACGACATTTTTGCTAGGTTTATGCGGATAGTCGCAGAATTCCACCCCAGTTATTGAGAATGATACGGCGAACTGCATTGATTTCTTGAGCCCAGTCAGTCAGGTCTTGTTGTACAAGGGAGTTTCGCGATAAATGAGCAGGATCCACAAATGACATGAGCTGTGTGGTCATCTTGGTGCATGTCTTAAATCAGTCTCTCGCAATGATGTTTGCATATGGAAATCGCAACAATTATGTATAGCAGGCACTCCATTGATAATCCACCCACTGCCTCAAGCCATGCCCACCAGATAAGGAAGGAGCCCAGCAATCAGAGCCACAGGTAACAACCAATGTGCACGATCAACAGCCGAACCCCCTGCCTTAGGCGGTGGTGGAGGCGGGGAAGCGGTGGGTGTTGGCAGTGCTGGCGTGGATGAAGGGGGTGGTGGGGAACTCGCGCTACCAGTGGGGGGCGGCGAGGCTGAGGGTGGTGTGGCAGGTGGTGCTGGTGCTGGTGCTGGTGCTGCTCCTTCCACCTTGCACGAGAAATCGACAACCGCCGATCCCCTGAAACCAGCAAAAAAAACACACACTCTAGTGAGCGGATTCGGACAACGGGGTTTCACTGAAATGCACATTGCATGGTGAAGATGTAGCAGAGCCAAAGAGAAGGGAGGACCAGCAGGTGAAGCTACACATGGGAATCAGCATTGTGGTTTGGATCAGGTACCTAAAGGGGCCGTGGTAGAAAAAATTCGTGGAGCCGTCTGGTGAGGAAGCATAGATGATTGCAGAGCCGCCCGACAGCTTCACAGGCACGTTCCCTGTGCCCTCCGTGCGAGAAAATCTGCAACAACAACAACAGCGCAAAAAAACTCTTGATTCGAATGGAATGTGGCTAGATGTGAATGTCCAGACAGCTTCACAGGCACGTTCCCTGTGCCCTCCGTGCGAGAAAACCTGCAGCAACAACAGCACATAAAAGCTCTTGATTCGAATGGAATGTGGCTAGATGTGAATGTCCAGACAGCTTCACAGGCACGTTCCCTGTGCCTTTGGTGCTCGGGAATCTGCAGCCGAGCACGACCAGTCAAACATGAGTGACTTGTAACAGCCACACCAGAAAGTGTGCGCAAATTGTACCCCTGCTCGATGTTGCAACATGATGCTGTATGTTTGGTGTCACAACTTTGGTGTTATAGCTTTGTTATTCTGTCCCGATGTTGCATCACCACCGCTATCGTTGCTACCATTCTAACACCAACCCCCCCCACTTACTTGATGTAAGTCGAGCCGCCATTCGCAGTCACAGACGTGTCGCCAAGCTCGAAAGAAGTGGTTGGGTTCTGACCGCCGGGTAACTTGGAAGTGAGTGTGTATGCCTGAACAGTGGGTGGATTACCCGTGTTGCCCACCACCGCGTCACTACCAGACATTCTGCCGTCCGCTGACCACCCCACTGCCGCCCAGCCTGGCGCGGTGGTCTCGAGGAGGAGGTTGAGAGTGGTTGAGTTGGGTGTCATCCAGTGGAGAATGAGGCTGGGGGCGGGCGTGGTTGGAGGGAGGGAGGGAGGGAGGGAGGGAGGGAGGGAGGGAGGGAGGGAGGGAGGGAGGGAGGGAGGGAGGGAGGGAGGGAGGGAGGGAGGGAGGGAGGGAGGGAGGGAGGGAGGGAGGAGGGAGGGAGGGAGGGAGGGAGGAGGGAGGGAGGGAGGGAGGGAGGGAGGGAGGGAGGGAGGGAGGGAGGGAGGGAGGGAGGGAGGGAGGGAGGGAGGGAGGGAGGGAGGGAGGGAGAGAGAGATTTGGAGAATGCTCATTGTTTGGTGAATTTACGATGAAGGCTCGGGACAGGAGAATTCCAGAGAGCGCATGGAGAAGCACAAGGGGGAAAGAGCGTGCAACCTAAAAAAACTGAACAATTTCGGGGGAATGGACAGAGGAGAAGAAGACTGGGGCTGGGTTCAACGTCGGGGAAGGCACGAGCCAATCGCGGAGACTGTAGATTTCTTGGAAATGTCCACGTGGCTGGGTGGGCCACGTGATATAGGTCAAGCTGCGTTGGCAGCAGATTCCTGAGGGAACCTCGATTGCTCAACAACCTTGTAATCTGGCGGTTTTTTATGATACCATGCAGGGTCCGCAACCTTGTAAGTGCTTCTTCAAACGCTAATTTTGTAAGGTCTTCTTGCGACTCAAAAAAGCGCCTGTCTCTATCACCGATGCCAGTACTTGTAATTATAATGTAGAATGGGAGCGATGTTACGCAGCGGCGCGCGGAAGCGCCAATGTGACAACGTAATCCAAGGGATGGAAGCGACGCGATGCATTAAAGCTCGCGTCTCATATTTTTTTCCGTTTTACACTTGAGAGAGTTTAACACTTGGTTGGGTTCCGTGACTGGTTGACGAATGACAAAATCTGTGACGAGCTGGGGTGCGATTCTGGCGGAACCAATCGTGGACGTGCAAACCCAACCGAGTGTTAAACGCTTGTAAATATGAGACGCGAGCTTTAATTCGACGCAACCCGCATGTTCTTCGCGGCGCCCCGTATAGCGACGCATAAGAAGCGGCGGGATCGAAATGAGCGACATGAACGAAATGAGTGGAATGGGTGTAACTAGCTGAACCCACCTGTCGCCGAGTGGCACCGCGACGTTGTATCCTCCGATCGTCGACGCGACGCATGTCTCCGCCGCTGCTCTCGGCGCGAGATGCGCTCCGAGGGAAGCCACGAGCAGGACCGCGACGACGGCGGGCGCCACCGACGGAGTTTTGCCAGCCATTGCGTTCCGCGCCGAGTGCGTGTTACGAAGCTCACGGCGGATCTGGCGCGAGATCATAGCTTCTTCGGATCGGGGTTCGTGGACAAGAATTGACACACTAATGCACGTCGCTCCAGGAAACGACGTACTGATGGAATGGTTCTACGTACTAGAAATGTGATGTCTTTCCAAACTGATCATAAACTTGGCGGCAAAATGGCACGATGATAATGGAGTGGATGGATGTACGGAATCCTAATTTCAGATGGGGGGTGGTTTGATTTTGATTTTGATTTTGATTTCTTAGATGTGGAGTGGATTCTGGAACGGTTTGGCAGCACCACGGCGCGGTGAAAGTCGACGAAGCGCCGGTCATTTTGAAACGTCGGCCCTGCTCGACAGGTAGGTACTCTCCGTCCGTTCCGCTTCCTCCACGTCGTCAGGTCGGCCCTGAAGAGATTTTCACTGACCAATAGTAAGGGTGGGAGGATCTCCCAACAACAAATGGAATGGACGGAAATTCAGTCAAGTGCCCAAAACCGGGTGTTGCCGAATTTCTGTTCGGGCAGTTGGTACCCCCTTTTTGTAGCGGGGTTGTACTTCGGTTCGGGTGAAAAGCAAGGCACCTCATTCCTCCCCCTTGGCCGCAAATCCCAACTGTTCGGTGTGGTTTCAAATCCGGTGCTTGCAAGAGATTGGTTGTTGCTCAAACATGCATTCGCCCACTAAACCTAAAGCTACACGCTCCTCCAAGAGCTTACGCGCAACACAAGATCTACAAATAAAAATAACATTTAACAACCCATAGTGTAGCTTTACTTATGTTCCACCCTTACGGCAGCTGCTTCTCATCCTTCAGCAGCTTCGGAACGCCTGTCAGTGTGTTAGCATCAGTCGATTTGAGGCTGCTTCTGAACTGTGGAGCAACACGAATATCCGTCACATCAGTCTCCCCAGACTCCTCCAACCAACCCGCATCCTTATTGCCTCCCCATCCCACCATCCAGCTGTCCTCTCCGTCCCCCTTCGAATCTCCCTGCCCTTGACCTCCCTCGTTCTTACTTCCCTCTCCCTCTCCACCTGATCCAACCCCCTCCTCATTGCCATTTCCCTGATTATTCTCACCCCCGCTGCTCCCTTCGCCAGCATCACCCACACCACCTCCCTCCTCCTCATCGTCCTTTCCTCCATTATCCTCAATATCACTGCTGCCTCCGCCATCACTCACACCACCTCCCTCCTCCTCATCGTCCTTTCCTCCATTATCCTCAATATCACTGCTGCCTCCGCCAGCATCACTCACACCACCTCCCTCCTCCTCATCGTCCTTTCCTCCATTATCCTCAATATCACTGCTGCCTCCGCCAGCATCACTCACACCACCTCCCGAATCCCCCCCAACAGCTCCTTCGCCACTGCTTTGCTCACCGCCACTGCCTGAAGCAACAGGAGCAGACTTCTGCCAGTCATCATGCTCTTCGCCTCCGCCATTCCCTTCACTATTGTCACCCTCACTGCTATCATCCTCACTGTTCCTACCATCAGTCCCACTACCATCACCATTATCACCTTTTTCGCTCTCCGCAGGACCACCACCACCATGCCCACCACCATTACCAGTCCCTAGGTCACCAGAATCGCCGCCCTGCGTTCCCTCCCCATTCCCCTGTGGCGTCTTTCCTTCCTCCTCTTCTTTCCTCGCGCTTGCATCTTCTCCTACCTGTCCCTCCTCCTTCACCTCCTCCCCTGTCTCCCCTTTTGTCTCTGTGTTGTCTGACTCTGAACGCCTCTCCTCTCCCAAGCTATGCTTGTCCTCCTGCTCCGTTTCCCCGTCCCCCTGCTGCTCCTCCATCTCCACTTGCTCCTCTCCTCCCTGCTGCTCTGCTTCCTTCTCAGCTTCCCTTCTCTTCTTCTCCTCCTTTCTCTTTGCCTTCTCTGCCTTTCGTTCCTCCTTCTCCCTTTTCTTCCTTGCCTTCTCTTCTGCCCGTTTCTTCTTCTCCTCCTTCCTCCTTGCCTTTTCTGCTGTCTTATCCTTCTTCTTGCCTTCCCCATTATCACTCATTTCCGGATCCTCATTGTCTCGCCCATCTATGCTACTTAATCCCTCCTCACTGTCTCGCACATCACTACTCCCTTCCTTATCCTCCACATTGTCTTCCCCATTATCACTTCCGTCCCTATCTTCATGGTACTGCCCATCAATGTTACTCCCTCCTACCTCCTCACTGTCTTGCACATCACTATTCCCTTCCTTGTCCTCCTCATTGCCTTCTCCACTACCACTCCCTTCCTTACCCTCCTCATTGCCTTGCATATTACTACTTCCTGTAACATCATTCCCACTGCCTTTAGAGTCTTCTCCATTCTCCTCCTCCTTCTCATCTCCCATCCCATCCCCTTTCTCATATCCCATCCCATCCCCTTTCTCATCTCCCATCCCACCTCCTTCCCCATCTCCCTTCGTATTCCCCTGCCCATCCCCTTCAGATTCGTCACTTCGGTCTTCCCCATCACTGCTCCCATCATCCTCCAAGTTGCTGCCTCCATTCTCGCTCTCCTCATCCCCATTCCCACCCACCTTCGTATCCCCCTTCCCGTTCCCATTCCCATCCCCATCCCCATCCCCATCCCCATCCCCATCCCCATCCCCATCCCCATTCCCATCCGCATCCCCATCCCCATCCCCATCCCCATCCCTATCCCCATCCCCATCCCCATCCCCATCCCCGTCCCCATTCCCATCCCCGATGGCAGCAGCAGCAGCAGCAGCAGCAGTGCATCTGGTTCTCCCTGCAACCACCGACGTCTCTTCAAGGCATCAACGGAAGCCACTGCAGCACCGCGCAAATCAGTGCTTGTATCTGGTTCGCTGTGCAACCACCGACGACTCTCCGCAACAGCTCCCACAGCAGTCGCAGCAGCAGTCGCAGGAGCGCTCGCAGGAGCGGTCGCAGCAGCATCGCTCGCATCGCTTGAACCAGCAGAGCGTCTCTCTGCTTCTCCGCGCAACCACCGACGGCTCTCCAATAGCTCAACAGAAGCCGCAGCAACATTCGCAGCAGCATTCGCAGAAGCAGTCGCAGAAGCAGTCGCAGAAGAAGTCGCAGAAGCAGTCGCAGAAGAAGTCGCAGGCGCAGCCATCAAACCATGGCGGTGGTAGTGACCCTCGCGGTCACTTGAGTCTCCTCCTCGCCATCCGTCCGTGTCTGTATTCGCGACAGCGATCGTCACGCCAGAACGACGATCCTCAACCTCGGGTAACCCGTTATCTCTCGTTTTCGCGGAAGCAATGTAGTGCGAGTGCAGGGCAGTTTTAAGGGTTACGGACGGTGCATGGTCAACATTCAGCCCTTTGGTAGGTAGACGACGGGGTAAACTTCGCGACGATACTCTAGGTCTGTCCTCGTTATTGGCATTCTCGTAAGCAAGTAAATTCGTTCTTACGTCGGTTACTCGGTCAGGTAACCCTAGAACTGGAACCAGGAGGAGAGCTGCGACAAGCAGAAGAGGCAACAACCACGCACGGACAGAGAATCGCGTACGGATAACCACACACTCGTTAGTGACGAGACCGCAATTACCCATTTCAGCGACTATAATATATATGGCGGGCGGAGCATGGTTCAGGCTTCGCAAGAAACGCGCCTCGACCTAGACTATTGCTTCATAGAAGCTCGCATCTCCAGTGCCGTGAAGGCTGTCTGTACCTACCAACTGATTGTCTCGTATAAGAAACCGATCGTCTCATACAAGCTAGTTTCGCGAAAGTATCGGCGGCGCGAGAGCCGGGATGCGATCGTGAAAGCGGAGGCGAAAACTTCTGAAGGGGGCCAGTTCTGTGCTGCGAAATTAGAAAGGTGTCGTTTGCCTACCTGAACGCAACAGAGGTTCTCGCAAAGATTTCGTGCAGGCTAAATAAGGAAGACGCTCACATGCGCGAATTGATGCGCGAGGAAGTCGCAAATCGCTGTACCTCGGCCAGTTTCGCCAGCCCAACAAATGTACGGTTACCCCAAGCACTTTCCCCAACACGTGCACAATTGCCAGCAGCACCTTCCCCTACACACTTTCCACCAGCCCTTGGGATTTGGCACAAATTCATCTGGCAGGCACAAATTTCCGCACAGTTTCCGTTCCATTCGGACCCAGTGGCTGGTGATCATCGTTCGCTCTTCGGGGCGTTCGTTTCCTCCACTCATCGTTCAACCACCACTATCAATCCGCACTGCTCTCCTCGCCGATCCATCATCGCAAATCTCTCGCGATTTCCACCTATCCGTTGTACCAGCTCTGCACGTGTCGCGAGCCGCACAAACAGCAGCGTTTTCCGCAATTTCCCGCCAAGGGTCACTATATCTCCTTATTTTAAGCACGATATGGCAAGAAGCGTATCTTGAACCACCATCTAATAGCAGAATCCACTCCATGGTACCTGGAAGTCAATAATCGACAGGATAATGGAGTCCGAATCGCGAGCCAATGAGATCGATCCACGTGGCTACGAGGCTGCTCTAGCGGCACTGTCTGGTCTGATTAGTCCGCAGAAGCGCGCCGATGGCCGAAACTGGGCGAATGATTTCGCACTTATGCGCTCTTATGTTAAGGTTGGTCTGGTGACTCTCTCAAGCTAAGTGAGTTTATCTGTTTTTTCGTGGTGCTGAAATCTGCCGTTTATCTGTTTTTTCGTGGTGCTGAAATCTGCCGTTTATCTGTTTTTTCGTGGTGCTGAAATCTGTCGTTTATCTGTTTTTCCGTGGTGCTGAAATCTGCCGTTTATCTGTTTTTTCGTGGTGCTGAAATCCGTTATCTGTTTATCTGTTCTTGTTGTCAGGTTCTGGACCTGGAGGGGCCAGTTGACCAGCTCAGCATCATACACGTGGCAGGCGCCAAAGGCAAGGCAAGTAACCAACACCGCTGACATGGCACAGACCGTACCTGGACCATTGCCTTTCATTAATGCTGTGTGCGCCCCTCAGCCAGGTGTGCAGATAGCAACTGGGCCACGTTTAACGCCGTACCCCTCTTGCTCTTCTTTCTCTCCTCTTCGTTCTTCCTTTCCTCCTCCTCTAATCTCCATGCTCCCCACCCCAACAGGGGTCCACATGCGCCATGGCGGAGAGCATGCTGAGGGCACGCGTCACATAAGGGGTGGGATCCACTTGTGCTCCTTCCGTTTTCAAAATCTCTCTTTATCGCGTCCCCTCCTTTCATTAACCTCCTTGTCTCCCCAGCAGGGGTCCACGTGCGCCATGGCGGAGAGCATGCTGAGGGCAAGCGGCCACACCACGGGGCTGCTGCTCTGCTCCTTCCCTTCCGTTCTTCTCCCTTTATCTTGTTGTCTCATCTCCTCCTCTGATTCATATCCGCCTCTCTCCCCAGCAGGGGTCCACGTGCGCCATGGCGGAGAGCATGCTGAGGGCAAGCGGCCACACCACGGGGCTGCTGCTCTGCTCCTTCCCTTCCGTTCTTCTCCCTTTATCTTGTTGTCTCATCTCCTCCTCTGATTCAATAACCCCCCTCTCTCCCCAGCAGGGGTCCACGTGCGCCATGGCGGAGAGCATGCTGAGGGCCAGCGGCCACACCACGGGGCTCTTCACCTCGCCACACCTTGTGGACGTCAGAGAGCGGTTTCGCCTCAACGGGTCAGTGATGTGAAGGTTGAGGGCAGAGAGCGATTCCGCCTCAACGGGTAAGTGGTGAGGCCCTAACCCGGGGTTGAGTGGTGAAGGGGAGTGTTTTGAGTGGACTCAAAACACTCCTCTTCACCTCGCCACACCTCGTGGACGTCCGGTCCGGGAGCGGCTCCGCCTCAACGGGTGAGTGGTGACAGTGCAGGAGCTTCCAGCTTGCTACGACCATTATTTCCAATTATGCGCCTTGCTTGCTTGCTGCACCTCGTGGACGTCCAATGATGGGCTGGTACTGCTTCTCCTTCCTTTGATCCTCCGGATGCTGCTGCTGCTGCTTCTGCTGCTGCCTCCGGGGCTGGTACTGCTGCTGCTCCTGCTCCTTCCTTTGATTCTCCGGATGCTGCTGCTGCTGCTTCTGCTGCTGCCTCCGGGGTTGGTACTGCTGCTGCTCCTGCTCCTTCTGTTGATCCTCCGGATGCTGCTGCTTCTGAAGCTCGTGCTGTTGACTCCATTCCTGCCTCGTTCCTTGCACCTCACAAGCTGACTCGATTGGTGGCATCACCTGCAGAAGCAGCATCATAAGCAGCATCACAAGCAACTGCACAACCAGCAGCGCAAGCAGCAGCACAAGCAGCAGGAAGGAAAGAGTCGGAGGATTTATCCTGGCCGTCGATTTTCCAAGAAACGATGAGTTTGGGGCCTCACAGTGCTGTGCTGCCGTCGCTGCCGGCAGACATTGATCTGCTTAGATGGACGGCTGGGATGCACCCAGACGTCTATTTGCAGGTGTTGGTGACAGGGTCACTGCACCTGGCGGGAGATGTGCTGCGTGCGATGCGGTGCAAGTAGGTATGGGTGGATCAAAAGGGTCGTTCCTATGATTAATTGAAGATTCCAATTTCAATCTCTTGAAAAGCCCGATGGATTTGTTGGTGGTGCATGTGAGTGGATCCTAGAATCACGGATGTACACTTGTTGGTTTGAGATAAAGCAGAAAGTTTTCTGGGAAAAAAAATGTAACACTGTAAAGGGCAATTAAAGTCTTGGTAAATCCAGATGGATGGGAGATCAGGCATTCTCACGTGCTGCCTGTTGTTAGCTTGTGAAGCTACAGTTCGGTGCATTGTAGAAAGTACAACCCTTCTCATTCTTGCTTAGTTGAACACATTCCGCTAGTGCTATTCAGACAAGATGCACCAACTTCCGTACTCTTTTCTTCCCCTTTCTTCCCCCCCACATGCTCCCTTTTTCCCTGTATTCTTTCCCAACCGTTTCTCACCGAGTAAAAGGTTTGAGTTACAAAGCTTTGGTGTGAAATTGGGGGACAAACAATAACATTTGGCGCATTTATTCATTATCGGGTGTAGACAACACGAAGGATCTACACATTGACTTTCACACTGCATATGCGCTTCACCTCGACTTATTCGCACACGAAGCGAACCAGCCAATCGGAATCACCGCCACTAGTGCTCTCGCCAACACAGCCAACCGAGTGCCTTTGGCGGCTGTGGTGTCAAAGAGCTGGGTGGGTGGGAGGGAGATCAATGGAAGGGCTGGCTCCTGCTGAAGAGCTCAGCGTTGCCTAAAAGTAATGGATGAAACGATGTGGGATGGGTGTGCTTCAGAGTGGGATGGGGATGACGAGGTTGATGGTTGTGCTTCAGGTGGTGGGGTGGAAATGAAGAGCTACTTCTTCGTGCGTTCCTGGAAAGGTCTTGTCTGGTGGCTCTTTGTGCCTGGGTTTAGCTCCAGTGGAAGATGATTTAGCAGCCGCGGAGTCCCTGCAGGCAAAGAAGATCACGAGCAGTTGGTGCTGCTCCGCTCGCTGGTGCTTCGATCGGCGCTGCCCCGCTCGCTGGTGCTTCGATCGGCGGAGCTCCGCCGCTCGCTTGTGCTTCAGACGGCGGGGCTCCGCCGCTTGCCGGTGCTTCGATCGGCGGGGCTCCGCTGCTCGGTGGTGCGTCGATCGGCGGAGCTCCGCCACTTGCCGGTGCTTCAATCGGCGGGGCTCCGCCGCTCGGTGGTGCTTCAGACGGCGGGGCTCCGCCGCTTGCCGGTGCTTCGATCGGCGGGGCTCCGCTGCTCGGTGGTGCGTCGATCGGCGAAGCTCCGCCGCTTGCCGGTGCTTCGATCGGCGGGGCTCCGCCGCTTGCCGGTGCTTCGATCGGCGGGGCTCCGCTGCTCGGTGGTCCGTCGATCGGCGGAGCTCCGCCGCTTGCCGGTGCTTCGATCGGCGGGGCTCCGCCGCTCGCTGGTGCTTCGATCGGCGGGGCTCCGCTGCTCGGTGGTGCGTCGATCGGCGGGGCTTCGCCGCTCGCTGGTGCTTCGATCGGCGGGGCTCCGTTGCTCGGTGGTGCGTCGATCGGCGGAGCTCCGCCGCTCGGTGGTGCGTCGATCGGCGGAGCTCCGCCGCTCGGTGGTGCTTCGATCGGCGGCGTTCCGCTTGGCGGTGCTTCAGACGGCGGGGCTCCGCCGCTTGCCGGTGCTTCGATCGGCGGGGCTCCGCTGCTCGGTGGTGCGTCGATCGGCGGAGCTCCGCCGCTTGCCGGTGCTTCGATCGGCGGGGCTCCGCCGCTCGCTGGTGCTTTGATCGGCGGGGCTCCGCTGCTCGGTGGTGCGTCGATCGGCGGAGCTCCGCCGCTTGCCGGTGCTTCGATCGGCGGGGCTCCGCCGCTTGGCGGTGCTTCGATCGGCGGCGTTCCGCTTGGTGGTGCTTCGATTGGCGCTGCGTCGCTCGGCGGTGCTCCGCTCGGCGGCGCTCCGCTCGGCGGTGCTCCAATCGGAGCCGCCTCTCCCAGCGAGCAGGAGAAATCAACAACCACCGATCCTCTGGAGGCATAGGGAGCCACAAGCTTGGATAGCTCAGTGTACGCTTTAAAAGAAGGTGCACTATGAATACTCAACAATAGCGTTGTGAGGGTGGAAAGTGAGTGGGGTACAACAAATGACGCTGAAGTTCTAAGTTTACCAAAAATGCACCTGGTAGGCCCAATGTAGGCGCATGAAATCCATGTACCTGGTAGGCCCATGGTAAGCCACGCACCTGTTGGGCCCATGGTAGGAAAAGGCCGTGGATCCGTCTGCGGAGAAAGCGTAGATGATTGAAGAGGGGCCCGACAGCTTCACAGGCACGTGTCCGGTTCCCTCCGTGCGAGAAAATCTGCAACAACAGCAGCACAAAAAAGCCCATGATTCGAATGGATTGTACTTTTGAGGCACCTCAAAATCCCGCCCATGATTCAAATGGATTGTGGCTGGATGTGGATGTCTGTGGTTATTTCGCTTTTTGTGCCTTTTCGTTTGCCACCGGGGCATTGATGTTGGAACGGGGGGGTGCTTGCGTGAGCATTCCAAAGACATGTGAGGCTTGCGTGAGCAGCAGGATACTCACAGCATGCGCATCCAAGACATGTCCCAATCGTCTCGTCACTCACTTGATAAACTTTCCGTCGGGGTATTTCAGATTTGGCGTCGTTTCCATACCGCCGACCAGGCTTGTAGTGATCATCAAATGTTGATCACCGGGCGCGGTAGACGTCAGCGTGTACAGGCCGGGGGTGTCACTATTGCCAACCACGGCGTCGCTTCCTGCCATTCTGCCGTCCACTGACCACCCCATTGCCGCCCAGCCAGGCTTGGAGGTCTCTAGGACGAGGGTGAGGACGGTTGAGCTGGGTTTCATCCAGTGCAGAACGAGACTGGGGGCGGGCGCATTGAAAGAGAGGACATATACGAAGGAAAATCAATAGGGAAAAACAACTTTTGATGGGGGAATGTTTAGAAAGCGAGCAGAGGGGAATCAGGGGAGGGAATCAGGGGAATCAGAGGAGAACAAGAGGATGCAACAGGAGAGCATGAGTGAGCTGGATGATGCACGTTCCAAGCGCGCTGGTCGCGAGTGGCACTGCGACGTCGTACTGGTTACCACTGGCAGGAAAATCTACAGCATCGTTTCAGCTCGACTACTTGGTACGCTTCTATCGCAGTGACTACGGTTGTTCTATGACTCATATCGGATATGACTGAACGTGGTACGAGTCCGAAGACGAGCGGACCTGTCGCCAAGGGGAACCATGTAGTCGAATCCAGGGAAATTCGACAATGTGCAAGATTCGGCAGCGGCAGGCGTGCCCTCCGCCGCCGCTCTCGGCGCAGAACACGCGCTGATGAAGACAACCGCGAGCAGGACCACCGCGAAAGCCGGCGCCATAGACGGGAGCTTTCCAGCCATGATCTAAAGTACTTGCGGCAGTGTCGCTTCCGAAGGCCGCAGTAAAACCGTTAATGAGACGGATGTTCAAAGGAGATTTGACTGAATTTGCACAGCATGAACTGACAAGGAGCTGACTGACTGCTTCTCGGTTATACTTCCGATGCTAATGAGTAGCGCTCACTGCGAGTGCGAGAGTCGGGTCCGTGTGTCACATGTAACTGTGTTAGCCGGATACCTAGTAAGCATGGATTTGCGTATGCTGCTGTGCTTCTTTATAGTGTGCCCAAGTCCCCATGGTACATTATTCCTCCTCGCCATGGTGCTACCATTGTGGCATGCGACGTCGCGGCTTGAGAAGTCAGGCAATAATTCTCACCCATAGCGGGTTTCAATAATTGCCTGCATGCATGGCTCCTATAATTGTGGCGTGGCGGAGTCGAAAGACAGTCAGTCAGCAAATGCCATCGAAGGCCAGTCAGCAAATGCCATCGAAGGGCAGTCAGCAAATGCCATCGAAGGACAGTCAGCAAATGCGGTGCGATGTTATCGCGTTTTGGCCTGAAGCATCACACCAAGGGATGGTTGGTTCTGTTCTGAATCTCCGTCAACCGAAGTCAAAGCAAACAATTTCAGGTTCGAAAAAACCACCTGGCAAGGTTGGGAATAACTGCGAAACGCAGAAAGAGGTGGAGTAACACGGCGGGCCAGCTCGCGACAGGCGATTGTGGGTGGCAACTGTTACGAGCTGTAAATGAAGAGTACGGGAACTCAATATCGATTCTATGATTACATCATGCCTTATGCAAACTTTGGGATGCACTTTTGGCCATATTTTTGTCAATGCACTATTGAACATTTTGTGTTTTTTTTTTCTCATATTTTTCCAAAATGGTGCTTCATATATACGCATATGGTGATGTTGACATGAGAACCAAATATTCTGATGTTGACATGGTAACCTATTATGCCAGCTTATACGCGACTACCAATCTGCACACAAGGCTTACCTTTTATACGTCGTCAGAAATGTTACGAATAGTAATTGGTGAAGCATTACTGTGCACTCCTAACCGCAGCAATTAAAGCACACAATACCGAGTCTGAAGACGAAAGGGCGGAAGTGGCGCGAGAGGACGTGCGGCTACGAAGCATCTGGACCGTCAGGGCAGACAGCATCAGGCAGCAGCAGTGGCGAGGATTCTGCCCAGGCAGTTCGTAACCGTCTGGAGTCGCACGGTTGAGTTTCGCTGCAATAAGGGATTGTACCCCTTAGAGTACATGGCTAGCCTAGGTCGATTCGTATTCCCTTGTACTCTTATTTATATTCCTGTATTTGCATGTTTTAATCATCTCAATCATTTTTAATCCACTCTGAATTGAGGTCAAGGGCCCACCACTACCAATCAGTTGTGTGCGAACCTTCCTGAGGTGATCCTAGGGACGATCAACTTTTGATCGCAGCATGGTATGAGAGCGACTCGGGAATCCTTCGCACTGCCACCTCCGAAATCTTCGACGAACGGAAGGTGGCGTCCGGCACACGCTCGCGTGTGAGAATGGCCGGAGGATCTGGAGGTCAGACAAATCTGACGGCTGAAGCGCAGCCCAACCCAGCTGCGACAAGCGAGGAAACAACGACGATTGGAACCGCCGTCCTCGCACAACTGCTTCAGCGACTCACCAGCTTGGAGAAAGGACTCCAAACATTGCGGAATGGCAACGTGGGAACTTCCTCCCAACTCTCTCAACCGGCCTCGAACGGCCACAATACCGCCCCGCACACCTTCTCCCTCGACACAAATGGCTCAACTCCCAAGACTCCCCGTCCCATCGAAGAAGCAATTCTCTATGCGCAATCAAGGTTTTTTAGCATATAAAAAATAAAGACAAGTGTGTGTTGACGGCAGAGACTTCTATAAGTGGAGCTTCGAGCTGGAGCTGCTCCTGCAAAACGCGCAGATATTCTACTATTTCGGCGGGAGCTACTCGGGACCTGCTGAAGACACCGCTGACGCCCGGGCTCAGTACTACAACGAGTCACTGATGGCGTACAGCGTTCTGCTGCGGAACATGTCGCTGGCGGAGCAACTGAGCATTCGATCGTACAAGACGACTCCTGCTCCAGCCCTCGACGCTTGGCGCCACCTGAACGACGTGTACCAACCAAAAGATTCGGTTTCATCGAGCCGCCTGATCCAGCAGCTACTGGAGACGAAAATGGCCCTAGGGGAGAAGGCCAACAGCTACATTTATCGCTGTCGGAGCCTACGCGATCAAATCGCGAAGCTAGGAAGCAGCATTTCCGAAGAAATCTTCGTGAATATTGTGCTTCAAGGGCTCGGTCCAGAGTGGCGGCCCTGCAAGGCGCTGCTCCGACAGTAGGGGGTCATCTCGGAGGCCGCCCTTTGCGCCGCCCTTCTCGACGAACAAAGGGATATGGATCAGCAGCGACCAGCGCCACAACGAGACCGGGAACGCCTTGCCTTCTACGCGGACAACACAGAAGTGCGACGGCCGCGGCGCCTCTACTGCAAGATGTGCAGAAACTTCGGGCACCTCGCAGATCGATGCAAGTTCCGATCTCGCCCTCGCCAGACCAATCCGAGCAACTGGTCTGGCCGACAAGACGCACGCAACGACACGCGTCCAGCCCAGGGGCACCAACCCCCATCGCGCAACCTGAACCCAACGGTTCAGCATCATCAGCAACAGTAGCCGCCACAGACTGCTCCCGTCCGCAACGTCATGGGCAACATGACCATGACAAGCGGGTCGCGTCGTCCCCACGTGCGCTCACCGTCACCTGAGCCAGCACGCCACCCAATCGGAGCGTTCTCGAACAACAATCCGTTCAGCACGCACCACGATTTCAGCGACGACGACAACCAAGACTGGAATCTTCCAGTCCCCCTGCTTGAAAGTCCCCCGCATGTACCTGATCAGCGGGCGGCTCCTATCGATTGGATCTCGCGCAAACAATTCCTCAAGTTTGACACACCGCACATTGTTACCCCGCGACTAGCGCTGCTCGCACGTAACGACAATAGGCGCTACAACACGTGGTACCTGGATAGCTGTTGTGGGCAGCATATGGTGGGCTCTGAGCGTTACATATCCAACGCCATCCCCACTCCCGCAGTGACCTATGTCACCGTGGCGAACAACAAACGACTTTGCGCAAGCGCGCAAGGGATCGTGGTTCTCAAGGCTAGAGGGAGCAGGACGCACATCACGCTGAACGACGTGCTGATTGTGCAGAATTTGTGATTCAATCTTCTCTCGGCGGCGCAACTCATGGATTGCGGAGTTGACCTCAGCACTAACTCCGAGATACGCGACATCCTGCTCCAGTACACCATGCCGAACAAGACATCATCAGATCGGGCGAGCGCACTCCGGGAATGGCGTCTACATCCTCGACTTCAGCATTCCCGACTGCAGCGGTGATTCGCAGGAGCTCATCGACCTCGTTCCCCTGCGCTTCGAACACATTCACCACCGTGACTGGAAACACCCAGACGGAAGACCGTGGGTGCCGCACCACCCTCACCCGCGAGAGTTTGCGCTGCATGACCCCGACCCCGACGGCATCTGCAGAGATTGCCACACGCCCACTGCCTCAACAAGC